CAAGTCATTAAAGGGGGTGTGGCATTATGAGACTAGGTGTCTTTCCTGTGGCCTGACGCGGGGCCAATCGAACGAGACCGCAGTATTCAAGGGGTGTAGCATGGCAAATACTGGTTCATGCCATCTACGACCTCTCATCTGGATGCTCGTCTGACCGTAAGTTATTGCCTAAAACCCCTGAGCTTCCTGGGGCTGCGCCCCTGGACCCCACACCAATTAGTGACCTGCCAGTGTCACAAATAAGGTATCAAAATATGCTCATCTGACCGTAATTAAATGCCTAAAACGCCTGAGCTTCCGGGGGCTCCGCCTTCTGGACCCCACCAAGTGCCCTAAATGCTTATCTGACCGTTATAAAATGCCTCAAATCCCTGAGTTTCGGGGGGTTCAACTCCCTTGGACAACATGCCAATTAGTGACCTGTCAGTGTCATGAATAAGGTATCAAAATATGCTCACCTGACCGTAACAGGGGCGGATCTAGCTTTTTGCTCAGGGGGGGGGGGGTTGACCAATAATGACGATGCAGAGCATCGTCCACGAGCCGCGAAGCGGCGAGCCGATTTTTTGGGGGTGTTTATTTGAACCCCGTAAGTGATGTTTTCCTGGCATCTATTAACACAATGGAGACCATAAAAAGCAGTGCATGATATCGTCTTTTTAAATCAAGTAACAGTTAAATACACAGTTATATCCAGAGTTATCATGTGTTTGGTTAAGTTACCAGATGAGTTGAATATCTTCTCACAATATTTGCACTTGAAAGGGTTTCTCTCCAGCGTGCGTTCTTTTTTCTTTCTTTTTTTCTTTTTTTTTTTTTCTTTTTTTTTTTCCTTTTTTTTTTTTTTTTTTTTTAATGTGGGGATTTTGGGGATGAGAATCGGCAACGCTGGCCTAGCTTGTCACTTCGGCGGTGGCCCGTGTCCTCAAAAAAGCTGATGGGGGGGGGGGGGCAAGGGACTCTGTGACATTTGTTCGCCCAACCCCCCCCCCCCCCCCCTCCCCCCAAAAAGATATAATAATCATAATAATAATAATAATAATAATAATAATAATAAATGAAATAAATACATAGAAATAGAATAAAATAAAATTACAAGTTTTACAAAAAAAGATAAGATTAAAAAAAATGGTCCCCGGATTTTTTTTTTGGGGGGGTTGCAACCCCCCCAACCCCCCCCCCCCCTCTAGATCCGCTTCTGCGTAATTAAATGCCCCACCTAGGGCCGTAAGGCGGGCCCCTAGATGTTCATCTGACTGTATTTTAATGCTTAAAATCCCTGAGCTTCTGGGGCCTCGCCCCCTAGACCCCACACCAATTAGTGACTTGCCAGTGTCATGAATAAGGTATCAAAATAAGCTTATCTGACCGTAATTAAATGCCCATACCTCCAGAGCTTCTGGGGGCTCCGCCCCTAGACCCCACGCCAATATACGCTCTATCTGATCGTAAATAATTTAGCCTCCCCCCCCCCCCACCCACTTTGAAAAAAGTTCAGCGGGGCCTGCATGTAAGAGTGCGGTGATGCTGATCTTTTGTCTGCCCCCCTCCTAATGTTTTTGCTCTTTACGCCACTGCTGGTCACCATTACGTACACATATTTGGCTCGCATAATTTCAAATGTGGCCCCCCCCCCTAAGAAATCTTGGATCCGCGCCTGGTAGTAGTAGTAGTATAGTATTATTATTATTATTAGTAGTAGTAGTAGTAGTAGTAGTAGTAGTAGTAGTAGTAGTAGTAGAAGCAGAAGCAGTAGTAGTAGTAGTCGTAGTAGTAGTAGTAATAGTAGTAGTAGTAGTAGTAGTAGCAGTAGTAGTAGTAGTAGTAGTAGTAGTAGTAGTAGTAGTAGTAGTAGTAGTAGTTATTGTTGTAGTATTAATGGTAGTAGTAGTAGCAACATTATTATCATCATCGTCATTATCATTATTATCAACATTCTGTGTCCGTTCTTTCCAAGAGCACCGCGTGTTTTATATTTTCATCATGAAGATACATCATTAGGATAATTAATCATCAATTTGAGATTACGCTCAAAATGGTACATTAATGACCTTGCATCGTTCCGCGCAGTGGATAATTTCGCCGAAATGTTGGGCGTTACATACTGTACATGTATTATTTATAAGCGATTGTAAAAGTGTTGTCAGCTAGTCAAAATTGCTGTCAGTGAAAGTGCTGTCAGTGGAAAGGTAGGCATGTACACCATGCAAAGGGAATGAAAGCCAGCGAATAGCAGGTGGTAATCCTATTCAAATTATCAGCCAGTTAACCTTTCAGGACAGTATTTATTGTTAGGGTTAAAGTTCTAACGTATTGTTCTTCACATTGGCAACAATAATATTTTTCCTTCATTGCTACATCGTTAAAATAAAATGTAATGTCTCTGAAAACAACATTCATGGCTAGAATGTTGCTGAAAAGTTGAATAAGTGGCAAATTTTAAAAGAAAACAAAATGATTTCATTTTCTCAACGTGTTGCTAATTTAGGAATTTTTAAGCTCGTTTTATTTTTAAAACCGCATCTGGCTTATACCGTGCCTCCATCAATTGGTCATTGCGTTCTCGTGCCTCCCTTTCAAGCTTTAGACCCAAAAGGCACCGTGGCAAAATGTGATAACCCCTTTCATTTAGGTTTGTTGGGTTTTGTTTTGTCTTTTTTCAGTTTTTGTTCTGATTGTCGGAGTTTTTTGTTTTTGTTGCTGTTGTTATTTTTTTTTAAATAAAATTGTCCTCTCACCGTTTACACAATCATGAATCCGCTCCTGGTAAGGTCCACCATGGTAAAACAACCATAAGTAGCAATCATCATTGGCAATCTATAGGTTTATGTAGTTTTATTTGAATGCAGAATTTGCTGGCTCTAGGGGCGCTTCAAAATCTCTCCCATCAATTTCAAGGGCGTATTCAATTGAATGATATTGAAAACGGAAATGGGGCATTTAACGTTGACGGGACGTTTTCCAAATAACGATTGATTCTTTGTTATTTTCCCTCTCCCTCTCTCTCTCTCTCTCTCTCTCTCTCTCTCTCTCTTCTATCTTTCTCTTCGCTCTCTCTTTATCTATCTTTCTCTTCGCTCTCTCTTTATCTATCTTTCTCTTCGCTCTCTCTTTATCTATCTTTCCTCTCCCCCTCTTATCCCACTCTTTTCCTCTCCACATTTTCCTCCTACTCCCATCACTTTCCTCTCCACCCCCTCTCTCCTTTTAGCACTCGCTCCCTCCTTCTCCTTCTTCCTTCTCCCCGTGTCTCTCTCAATATGTCTCTGTCCGTCTCTCTGTATCCCTCCGTCTCTCCGTCTCTCCCTAGTGTCTCTCTATTTATCCCCTAGTCAATTGATCTATCTATCTAATTTCCATATTTCATCGCACCAATATACATTAAACATAGGTCAAATTCAAGTCGATTCATTGTGGAGACAAAATATTGTGCTTGAAAATAGACTCGATTTTATTCCCAATGCATCAGCCAAGAAAAAAGGTATCGTAACAAATCAGTTATTTATATTGCCAAGCAACAAAGCCTCATGAATAGTATGTCGATAATAAAACGTATAGTGATATGATATTCATATAACAAACATTTCACACACCCATACCAGTCTTGTATACATTACGTTGTGCAAACACGCATGCACGTCTATTTTATTGGCATAAAACGCACAGAGTAGGCACGAAGAGGAAATATCGAGCGAGTATCAGTAACAAATTCTGTGAAGCTTGCGCTGTACATGAGGCGTCATTTCATTGCGTCATTACATGCGCTAATCAAGTGTATGCAAGCAAACATTGCATGCGTCAGTGAATGCAACGCAGTGTGTGAACTGTTCATTTGCAGGCCTATTCACATTTTGCACGATGTACTCACTCACATTCCATTGGCGGGGCAAAGACGGCGTTAGTCGCTGACGCATTATTACGTCAGAAAATGACGCATCGTGTACAGCGGGAATTAAAGTGAATCCATTCAACCTTAACATCATCACCAACAATAACAATGATATTCACAGTAATATAGTGATAATAATGATTACAATAATAATAATAATAATAATAGTTTTTATTTATAATAATTATTAGAAAAAATAACAATAGCAGTATATATGTATTATGGACCAAATCACCAAACCAGCAAGTGGTTATCATATGAGAATTCATGAAAATAATAATAATAATATGTCTTGTTTACCCAGGGTAACCTCATCAGTATTCATACTGTTCTCCCTGAGGGCCCTGGAATCATATTATGATTGGGCAATAAGTCCACGGTAAGTCCGTACGTTACCAAGTTGGCTAAAATGCTATGGCATCGTAATCAGAAATTGGCTAGAAAATGATGTTACTCATTTGTATCGATCATTTGTCTGATTCAAGCTCCGGTGGGCTATCAGCTTGATACAGTCGTCAAATATTCCGAAATCGTAGAACAAAGGCTGAAAGTATGGGACAAAACAGCTTGGACCTGCCTAATTATTTATTGAACATGAAACTCCACGTCCGAGTGCAAATATAACTGAGTGTTCCTAACATGGCACAAAACGGCTGGACGTTCTTGAACAAATTCTTGAATACAAGTCATGTACACACAAAATTATACGAAATTCCCAAAAATATGAAGAAAAAAATCAACCGTATCAAAAATTTTGCACTACAAAATGCTACGAAAAAACAATTTCAACATTTTCCATATACCTCTTGTAAATTCTAAGCGAGCACTGAATTTTTTTCCTCACACCAAAGGCACTAGAAGTATTTTCGCTGACAATCTCGACGTACTTCACACCGCAAGACCGACTCCAAAACCGACCGATTTTGGCCGCTATGTTTTTTTTAATTTTCGCTTCGGATCGATGTCGGTTTGGTGTCGGTCTCGTTGGTTGCGACTGGGGTATCAGGCCTTTAAAAAAGATGTCGTATTGCCCTTTAGGTGCCAAAACATGGGTCGGTCGGTCGGCCAATTTTTATATGAGTTTTGAATGCTTTAATACTTTTTTTTCTGAAAAACGTTTTTTTTTTATTTTTTTTTTATACCCGACCGTCGATTTCAAAATTATGGGGTCGGTCGCAAAGGGCAATACAACATTTTTATTTGTTAGGCCTCATATATCATAATAAATTTGCAGAATTCTCAGCCAACTAACCAGTATGCAAATTATGATAAAATCCGAACACTTTTTTTTTTATTTAAACACATAAAATAATGCTTTTTTTTCAATAATATTCAAAAGCCATACATCATAAGTCATGTAAAAATACTTCCCAATGGACAAATGAAATAAAAATATCCACAGCATTATACAAAAAAACTTGACAATCACCCTCCGGATAACCATCCCTAGGATAACTACTCTCTAGGACGACTACCCCCAGGACGATTACCGTCTAGGATGAGTACAACCCCCCCCCCCCCCCGGTAACTACCCCAAAAAGACAACTACCCCCGGCCAACTACCTAGACACCTACTCACTAGGACAACCACCTCTAGGACACCCCCCCCCCCCCGATAACTACCCTCTGGTAACTACCCCTAGGACAACTACCCCTGGACAACTACCACCAGACAACTACCCTCTAGGACAATCACCCTCTCGGACAACTACCCCCCGATTGATAATAAGGGTTATTGTCCATGGGTAGTTGGGTGGTAGTGGTACATTGGTGGTAGATGTCAAGGAGGTATCCTAGAGGGCGGTTGCTCTAAGGGGTAGTTGTGTGGATGTAGTTGTGTGGCGTTAGTTGTCCGGGGTATATATCTGGGGTAGCTGACCTAGAGGGTAGTTGACCTAGGGGATAGTTGTCCTAGGGGTAGTTATCCGGAGGTGGTTAACCGGGGATGGTTGTCCAGGGGTAGGTGTCCGGATACGATCCACCATATATTACATATTGGTTAACTGGTTTATGCATAAACCTTTTGAGGTTGCAGTGATCAACAGAAAAAACCTTTTATCCAACTTATTCCATGTAAAGGAAAATTCAACTACATGCAAAGGCTTTATCTATTCCATAACCCTTCCCATGTAAAGATGAACGGAACCAACAACAAAGTGAGAATCGTCTCATGTATATTTTAAAAAAAGTGCATATTGCACAAACTTTTTGTTCAGTCACGCAGAAACTATCTCAAAAAAAGGACATAATGGGCCTATTATAGTTCATCCATAATGCTTTGCCTTTCTTGAACACTTAGCCGAGAGCCGCCGACCCGTGATGTTCGACCACCCCGTCGTACCTGCGCGTACGGTGGTGTTGAATCTACCCTTGGCGTTGGCGTTGGACTTGGGCTCCCGTCCAGCGACGATTGGTAGTCGACGCCGGAGTCGCTGAACCCGGGGCTGACGTTCGTGTACGGCGATGGGGCGTCCACTTCGGTGTACCCCATCATCTTGGAACCAACGTTTTGGTGAGGGCTGGACGTCCCGTTGCGCGGTCGCTGCTTGCGCTGCTCGACGCCGAAGCTGCCGTAGTGACGCTGTAGCTGAGAATCGGGACGTATCTGATTGACATTGTCGATGGCTGTTTCCTGAATGTACCTCATATCGGCTCTTTGGTTCCGCTGCTGTTGACTGGCTCTTGGTGCCCCCCTTGCAGGGGTTGTGATGTTCCGAGTCATGACGAAGTCAGTGGTTGCGTCACTGCTGCGTCTTTCTGGCACTTGAAGCCGCGTTTCCATTACAAAATTTTCAGCAGACCATCCACTCGCCGTCAGTTTCTTGGTGCGGACATACCTCCTACAGCAGCATTTGCATTCAAAGACCACAGATATGATGATCAAGATGATTAAAATAACTGCCACGACAATAGCAAGAGGAATAACCCAGGTATAGATGTTTTTCGGAGATGATGCTGATGCGATTTCTATAACCGCGGTAGCACGGCTGGAACCGACCTCATTTTCCGCTTCACAAGCAACAACCGCGTCACTATCATCATCCCCGATGTCATTGATAGATATCTGCGTTCCTTCCGCGGTGATCTTATCCCCGAAGTCTTCCAGCGATAGTCCTTTGTACGTCCACGAGTAGGTGAAATCCGCCGGGTACGACGACCTGATCAGACACACGAAGTTGACGCCGTCACCGCGGCGTACCGATGGCGAGGCGGGCGTTATCATAACGTCGGGGACATGCCGCACGACGATGAAACCCGTCGTGCAGGAGCGAGCGGAAGGTAGGCCGGAGCTTTCGGCAATGCACTGGAAGGTGGAAAGATGATCGTCTCGAGTGATACTGTGGTAGAACTGAGTGACGATAAAACCATCGCGGATGTGCGTCTCCGGGCTCGTCGGCACGAAGGAAGCATCGTCTTGTTTCGTCCAGTAAAGCTAGAGCAAGAAAGAGATAAGGACATAATAAATAAATGAAAGATTAAAAATAAAGCAATATGTGAATCAATATAGAAAATCTACCGAAACGCTTATACATGCATTTATTACATGCCGTCTTGATCAATGCAACAGCCTTCTTTATGGCCTTCCGGAGTCGCACATTGCAAAACTCCAGAGAATCCAAAACTCTGCTGCCAGGCTTGTAACACGCACACGTTCTTGTGAACACATCACCCCAGTACTTCGCGAATTGCATTGGTTGCCGGTGACGTACCGCATTATGTACAAAATCTTAGTTTTAACTTATAAATGCATTCATGAATTGGCACCAATTTATCTGCAAGAATTAATCGAGGAATACAAACCCTCACGCAATTTACGGTCATCTTCACAATTAAACCTCGTATCTACTTCTGTGTCAACTCTCTCTTATGGTAATCGCTCCTTTCGCAAAGCTTCTGCTGAACTTTGGAACAAATTACCTTTAAATGTAAAAAACTGTCAAACCGTTAACCTATTCAAAACTAGTCTCAAGACACATTTATTCAAAATTGCGTTCGATGATTAATTATCTCTGTTCACTTTGATGTGTATTCCATATGTATTGTTATTTGTAGGTTTATTTGCATTTTTAGTTTTGTATAAGATGTAATTGTATATCAGTCTATTTTGTGTGTATAGCGCTTAGAGACTTCGGTGGTAAGCGCTTTATAAGTAACGTTTTTATTATTATTATTATTATAGCCCCTATAATAGTCCCTACTTGACTGGTTCAATGTGGGGGAAATCTGAGACGTGATGATCATGATGTTTCATGTCCATGCAGTCACACCAACAAATCTTGCACCGGACAGGCAATCAGACAATCGCCATGACTTTGTCGATTACTGAAGTCGCTTGGCGACCACCATACATTGCGTACAAAGAGAGTATACCTGAATTTGGTAGCTTATGATCAAAAGGTCAAAATCAATGTGACTTTGAAATATATTTAAAGGTAAAGGATAAATTATTGTCTGTTTAACGATACCCTATTTATATATTTTTTTCAGCCACGGTTGACTGCGCATAGGGTTAACAACAACAAATCCCCTTGTACCTGTTGAATAAAGTTTGGGCTAATGCACCGAATGTGGGTCAGGGAACCGTTTCACAGAGCCTTTTCTCAATGACAAATGATACAAATCAGTGACAAATCTGTTGACAACCAATCAGAAGCAAGGAATTCAGTTGCTTATAACAAAAACTGTCTTAAAATAATGTCACTGATGACAAGTTTTGTGAAACACACCCATGTCCACATGCAAGAATTGCCGTAGTCTCAAGTTAAATTATGCCTCATGCTTCATTGTTTCACGTAATCAAGTAATATCTAAGCTCTCACAGGACCTTTTTCAATTCACAGGATAACCTTTAATTATTGTTTACAACCTAATAATAACTTTTCGTCTCATGATAATCTACGATATCTCAGATCACTTGTCTAAAACGTTGTCCATTGCCTCAAACAGCACCTGAAAACTGAAATACCCAACGATTGGGTAAATTCAAGAAAGAACAAATATATTGAAGGAATCGACAGTAGACTTTCATGATAAAAGATAGCATCCCTAGTAAACGTTGTCAATGTGAATGACTCAATGACAAGGCTTGCCTAAAATGCATCTTTTAACAATGTTAAATCTGAGATGCACGGCCTTACGTGCTATCAGTGTCTGTGAAATGGTGTAATATTGAAGCCCTAAACAAATTGCGCTTCAAAATGATCAAGAAGTGCCTCAAAAAAGTTAAAATCTTTGAGTGACCGGTTTTACCATAATCGTTTTCCCCAATAGTGTTATGAAAACCGTTAGGAAAACGCGAAATTTGGTTTCGACTTCCAATCATAAATATCTTGATAATCAGATAGGCGATCGGCTTTTAAAAGTCATGGGGTTCCTGACTCACCTAAATGTTTATAAAATTATCATTGCAGCGCATGAGCTAAATCCAGGATTTTGTTTTAGAATCTGAGACAAAGTTACCAGATCCCTTTAAACAAGGGATGCGATCGAGAGAAACCAAGATTGTGTCATCATAACAACAACAAAAATCATATATTTTGCTTAGAAATTAACCATTTCTTGTGTTGAGTTGACAGTAGCATTTTTGACATTAGCACAAAATGAGTGCACTTATTTTCGGACTGGATTAACAATGCTCAGGGCTTCTGACCCCAAATCAATGCTCCAGCTTAAACTTAGTACACGAGGACTATCAATGACAATACATTTTGAAAAGGCTGCTGCTCAGTCATCCTTGCTAGCAGAGTTATAAATAATGTATCATTAAGATTATTGGTTACACTTTAAAATGAAATATAATTCAAGGTCACACAGGTAATAACTTTTACATGAGAATCTACCAATGTTGGGTATACTTCTCTTCATTTGTATAAGCACTGTATATGTGTGTTGCAGTGTTTTCACTATGAGACGAGGCCGATATGAGTATACTGCATGGGAGCTGTACTACTTTAGCTGCTCTGGACACAGAAAGAGACTGAGGGAGTTAGGCTCTACTCAAGGCCTTAGGAATTGAGTTAAATTATCAAATTAGAGTCTGTGCCTGCATACTAATGAGCCTTTGTAAAGTAATGACACACTTTTGTTCAAAACCATGGTCGTTAATTATTATTCAAAACTTGAAAATGGCGCATCAGTTGGTATATTAAGTGCGCACAGAAGTCTTCATGTGTGGGTGTGTTAGTGTATATTTGTGTGTTTATATGTGTGTTTATTATGTATATACATATATATATTAAAACATACTTATACACCCAAGCACGCAACCCCCTCTCCCTATTCCCTCCAACACACACAACACACAAACTTATACACACACGCACACGCACACAAATTCATACACTATTTTCTGCATTTTCAAAATTAGATCGCCTTAATTTTACGAAGGTCAAAATAGCTAGCTGGCCCGACTAGTTCAATCGAGAACCATAACCTTGAATTAATACATTTCAATTCGTGTAAATAATTATATTACTTAATCTGGTACCACCTATTTAATATTCACTCCATCCACTATTGATATTTTTTACATTCTAATGATGTTGTATCCAAAATATGTATAGGAATTTTTTTTTATAGATAAACAACAAACAAAAGCGTACAATAAGATATAAACGTCATAAACAGAAATACTCAAGAATGTTTTAACATAAATATTTGACAAACCTGAACGTGTATACTTTTGCTATTTCATTAGTGTCCGTTTTTAAAGGAAATGTCATTACTCATGCATTTGCATCTAAAAAAAAAAAAAGGTTTACGATGTTTACAGGGATTACATGGGCTTTTGGTTTTGTTTTTAGATTTTTGTCTGTGATTTATTTCAATGGTAAATCTTTGTTTGCTCTATTTATATTCTTTTAAGTATGAATCTGAACAAAATGAGATCAATTCAATTTGACTAACATATCATCTCCATTATATCATTTGAAAAGTATGCATACAATACAAATCTATAGAAAATGGTATGATTATTGTGTTGATTGTATTAATATATTAACATGAATCATCTTTCTAGTTTACTACGATGGCAAAGATGTTGATATATATATATATATATATATATATATCTAGCTATATTTAAAGGTAGCCAAAAGCTCAGGGCGGCCTATTGATTTCAATAACAATAAAAACATATCTTGTTTACCAAGGGTACAATCAACAGTATTGATAGTATTTTACCTGAGGGCCCTGCGTCCATGTATTACACCGGCTTCCGCCTGGCTACCTGGGCCCGTTTCTCGAAACCGTCATAACTCTAACTTCTTGGACAACCCATCGAAACGTGTGTTATAAGATTAACACGCGTATCTATGATTGGGGTATCTACGAACTTAGACTTATGACGGTTTCGAGAAAAGGGCCCCAGAAGGCGCGCACGCATCCAAGTGAACTCTTCCTACCGGGGTCAAATTTACTTCACCTGCGTGGAGAGTGGCCAATGTAAACTGATGTCTCACCAAAGGACGTCGTTATTGTCGTGGCAGGTATTCGAACCCCGTACCTTGCGATACACAGTCCGGAGACATGGACCACGACACCCGTGTTACGACATGCAGTTATTATGCTGTGTGTAATTATTGTGCCATTGTTATGAATAGTCGTGCGATATTTAGTTATTTGTACAGGTGATTCTTTACTCTGATCGATGGGACCAAATCAATGTTGACATATCTGGTTACAGTATTTCATTATTTTGTGTCTATTCTAATACAAGTTTGGTATCGTGGACGGGGGGGGGGGGGAGATTTCAGTATCTTTAATAAGGAGACATGTTAAGCTAAATTGCCGACTAGCAAGCAACATTTTGTGCCACATACAGTAGAAACAATTCCTCAATTTTGAAGATTCGCGGGCAAGGGTTAAAAAAGAGTCCAACAGATTATGACTTTTTTTTAAAGAACCAACAAATTGACGCACGGCGAGTAAAGTATAGGCGATATAATACTAGAACAAAATTAGTCCCAGTTTATAAACCCGTCAAGAGGTTTGCAGTGTTAATTTCATTATTAAAATGCTTATATTCATTATGATTCATTCCGAATCTCTTTATGAAATCTTAAAGCCTGTAGGAACTTTCACGCACCTCCTAATTAATTTTGTAATAAAGAACCCGGTAAGTTTCTCCCGGCTTCAGAATTAATATCATACTGCTCTAAGACATGCGTCTATACGATTCACCTCTGGCTGTTTGCGATTCATTAGAAGCCATGTTTTGCGTCGACGTAAGCAGATCATTATCTTGAATATCAGCATCGGCGTCTATATTATTAGGGACTTTTAGATTCTGCACGACAAGAACGCGGACTGCTCTTTTAAGGCGATGTGACGTCACTGCCAGTGCCTTAAAAGGACGTCACATTGCCTTAAAAGGGCAGTTCGCGTTCTCGTCGTGCAGAATCTAAAAGTCCCTATTTTAAATGCATTTTGAACAGCCCTTTGTATGTACAATAACATACTGCTGATCGATAACGAGTAATAATAATAATAATAACAACTGACAATGCTACCCTGTACAAAATAAATTTTAAATGAATAAATAAGACTGCTGTACTACTACTACTACTACTAATAATAATAATAATAATACAGGTAATTCCATTAGTGAATAATAGTAATAAAATCAATAAGTAGTACAACAACAAAAGCAATGATGTTTCATTCCCCCTATGTAGACTCATCAGCTTTATTACTTTTTTCCTGACAAGCCCAGCATTCATATCACTTGAAATAGCCATAATTATTAGTAATTGTCCCTAGTTTGTCATGTTTTAGCATCTACTTTGGTAATAAGAATATATCAGAGATTGTAGACAATATAATCTGCTCTCCTTTTCATGTAATATTTGGCACTCAGACGTTACGAGCACATCTATTACAAAATAAACTGTAGTCGACCGAAAACATTATATTTGAAAGGTTTTTTGACACATCGATTTGAACGTGCAAAAGCCTTTATAAATATGATGAAAATCCACGACAATCTTATACCCAGGCAATTACGCTGGGCTGAAAAGCGCATTCCCCACTGTACGGCCACATTGTCCACATGCAAATTATGCACTTCAATGAATATCTGAGTAGATTTTGAAGGTTATCCCTTTCATTGGTTACATTTAGATGAAAACGAAACTCTATATTAAACTCAGGGAGTTATTGGTTGTATGATAAAAATAGAAAAGGGAATTAAGATCTTCGAACACAATACTCATCTAGACGATTGGATGAATTGTGTATGTGGTGATTGTTCTCTTTGGAGTCCATGGTGGTACCCAAAATATTAGGGACTTTTAGATTTGCACAACAACAACGTGGATTGCTACGATCGACGTCCTTGTAATGCACTGCCTTGAATGGACGTCACACGTATCAGTCCACGCAAATCTAAAAGTCCCTATAATAGGAATAGATTGACACACTTATGGCTGTGGCGGATGGATGGGGAGGGGAGAGGAGGGGAGGGGAGGGGAGTGGAGGGGAGGGGTGTGGGATTCATATACCACATGCCTCTATCCCCATATATATATACACACTTCGAACAGTTTTCTTTGAGTTGCTTTGAACAACACCGTTGATATCGTAAATCTATTCTTTCATCTGACACTACATTGTTGTATTCATTTGTCTTTTTCTGCATGGGTTCATACAAACGGTGATTAGCAGTCATTGGCTGAATTGTTCACAATTTACAATCATATTTAAAAAATACATGCAATTTGAATATTATATTGCAAAAGGTATAATTACACAAACATAATGTTCAATATATAATATTTTAGGTACATAGACAAATGTGGGTTAAATAATTAACAACATAAAATAGAACAAACGTCATGAATCATAATTTTCCATTGAAAAGGCTAGTTTTACTGCGTTAAGACCAGCCAAAGTTATGACATCTTTAAGGAAGGGCTGATGGTAGGGGTAGAGACTCACCTGGACTTGGTGGGTGTTGTTGGATCGATAGGCACACGTGAACTCGACTGCTTCCCCGACATCCAAGGTGCCTTCGATGCTGATGAGGCACTCTGGGAAGTCGCCATCGGGCGGTGGGAGAACGTGCAGGGCTGCAGGCTGCGACGTCAAATACCCATCGTACAATGAACCGGTCGACGGCAGAGAGACCATGCACGTATACACACCCGCGTCCGAATCATCCACGTTGACGATCTGGAGGTTGAACTCGCCGGCGGACTCGTCGCCGAAGATCGCCCATCGGTGCTCACCGGCATCGCCCGAGGTGTCGATGGGCTTGACGGCGATGATCTCGCCGTCTTTCGACCACGATGGCACGCCGATTTGGTTGGCGATGGTGCAGTAGAGGGTCGCCAGTTCTCCGCGGATGGCGTTCGTGTCTTTAGGCGCCACAGTGATTTCTTGCTGGTTCTCCACACTCTGCGCCGCAGCATCGTGGTATAAAGCAAAAAAGCACAGCAATACCGCTGACATCAAATAGATGATATTGTTATCCGCCATTTTATTCCTTATAATTCACAATAATGTATCTGCAATAAAACTATTGGCTCGTCAAACTACCGGCACAAATTTCTCAATCAGGATGTTTGTAGAGTTTGTGTAGATAACAGTCACTCTGCAGAAGAGTTTCCTTCCAGGCATATGTAAACACACCTTGAGTAGTTTTCGGTTAGTTTGAACTTCTACTCAAAACTCAAATAAATCTTTTGTGCTCTTTCTTTAGAAGAGGGCTTGCAAACAGCATCTTAGAATCCGTGAATGAAACGATGGTTTATCTCAGAGAAATAACCCGTTGAATCCTGTTATGATTTACGCATGTAGGGCAGCAATGACTACATTCGATTAAAGAAAACACTCGCAAATTTGTTCATATTATGTAGAATGACGTTAAAGGTGTTGTGGGGGTGAAGTTCCTAATCAAAAAGTTTGAGAGAAAACATTTCTCCAAACTACTTCCTGCTTGTCGAACAATAATATAATTCAGTACGACTGCGACCAGCTTTAGATATCCAATCGATGCAAAACAACACAATAACGATGGAAAGGCTCTGCAACTTCCAGCTTTTTATCCAGTTACTAACTTCGGCGTCACTTTGATATCATTCCTTTCAACACAATAATTGTCCATGTTCTATAATAATGATGTAAATAATATAATTATCACTGGTTCATTCGTGGATTGTGATAAAAAACGAGTGTTTTTCCCGCGTATGACAAAAAGTAAGGCCTATTATAATAATAACTGCAGCCGTTGCATCGCTGTCGGGTTTACGAAAACATTATTACACAGATGCGTCGTCACCAGATTTCTTCACAGCTCCATCACGTATAGAAGAGTTTATTGTATCACGCCGTATTCAACAGGTGTACTTCCATTATAACCAGGCTCTTCATCTTTTGTGAAAATATGTTCCAACAGGTTTGATTGGAAACGCTTTCCCACGTTCCCGCAGTCTCTTTTACCCCCTTAATGGTTGGTCCTTTTATCTAGGGTTCGAGGACAAAGGCTCGTCACCCCAGCAACCAGTGTATGGCATCGACGCCATTCATAAGGGAAAAAAAATGGAATTATTATTATTGTTTGCTTTGTATTGCGTGCTCATTCAACTGTGTGCCTTGTGGTCGCAACAACCACACGCAGTGATTTGCTCACGATCCCTGCGTTTCTCTGGCGATATGACGATGAAGGGGAGGGGACAAAAATAATGCTTGATTTCTCCTCTTGAAGTTCAGGGGAGGCAGCTACTATTGTCACAAGAGCAACAGTCGCGGGAAAGATGTTTTGTGTATTATGGTTGGGTGTGTGATCAGAAGCAGATTGTATAAACTTGCTCAGTCGTCGGGTCGGAAAGCAAACTCGGGCGGAGCATGATGCTAAACAATGCCTGGTGGGGAAGAAAAAAGAGAAGAAATTCATGCGAATTATTACGTTTGATTAGAAATGCTGTTCAACGTTGAACTTCTTTGACATATAATCAATGCATATTAACAAGTTTGATTGCTAATGCTATTGATCAACGTTATTAATTCCCACGATCCCACATGTAAGGAACTCTATAACACGCTGGAGAAGTAGACCGTCCAATCAAAAAAATTCTAGTTTTTAAATTATACCTTTAATCACAATCATTTTTCCGAACTAAATCTCAGGAATAATTTTTTTTAATGATTTGATGGGTGTCTCCTGTTTAAACTTCGTCAGTCATTTTTCTCATGTCGAATCGATATATTATCAACCATACTTTGACTGAAACAAATGTTAACATACCTCCCACAAAGCCAGGGTGAACATGACAATTTATGATGTACAGCGATTTACAATCACGCTTTTTCCAGCCTTAAAGCAAAATGGTGGATTGCCTGTATTCCCCTTCTCTAATATATGTTTCAATATACGCGTGTGTTTAAGTTTGACCATGGTTCTACAGAAAAATCTACTTTTTACTTCCCTTTATATACTCGGAAGAACGTGTGCACTTAAAAAGCTCAACAAAAGATTACGTATCGGTATTTTAGCGAACAAAAGTAGAGGGGATATATGGACGATTATAGCTTGTGGATAAGCTGGTATAAGGAAGTAAAATGGCACGACTTTAGAGAGAATAATCACTGTCTCATTTTGTACGCCACAACAAAGGGAGCGAACAGGTTATGAGTGTTTAAAGATAAAGTTGAGTTCTGGTGCCCCGTCTTATAAAGAGTTGTTATCAATCGCAACTACTTTATTTGTGAGACCGGTTCCATTTAGTATACACAATTAAAAGAGCTGGGTCAAGAGGAAATACAAATATGGGCAGCACATTTAAAGCCCCTCTAAAGTGTTGGGAGCCCCAAATTCGCCAAAGATTTTATGGCAAAATTCCACTTCAATTGTATCATCATTTAAGACACATTTCTGCAAGGATTTTCAAAACAAATGTGTTTGAAGTCGAACATTGATGAAAGAATACAACATTTAGGTTTTCTGCGTACAACAGAAAACCCAAATTATGTATTATTTTATCAATATTTGTCTTCAAAGTTCAAACACATTTTTTGGGGGGTAATCTTTGCAAAAGTGTGTCTTAAATGACATCCTCTTTCACATTTTGATACATTTAAGTGAAATTTTTACACAAAATTGTTGGCGATTTTGGGGCTTCCAACACTTAAGAGGGGCTTTAAGCAACGATCACGCATCGACCCCAGGACCTCTCGGACAAGAGCCTTCACCAATATACCACAGTGCTACGAGATTACATGTTTTAATAAGTGATGCAAAAGAGCAAGAACATTACAACGAAGAGGGTCACACAGAGGAAAGACTTTTATATAAGGAGGAACAGGGGGAAATAAAGAGTTAGTCCGATTTATAGAGTCACAATCTTCTCACAAATTGACATATCCACGCCCCCCCCCCCCCTTCCATAAAATAGACTAAATGCTTCAGATAATCCCTGATCGGATTAAAAAGCACAATCGAAAACCGGCGTTGACCACCTGGGGTACCCCGCTGGTATTTCCTTGTCGATGATCCGTTAATCCGTCTAAAAACCTAACAGGTCTTCACCACGACAAAGAGGTTAACATCTTCAGAAGCAGGGAGTTCTTCAGATCAAAGTATTACGTCGAGTGCATGTATTGTAAGACTTGGATGATTGGCGTTTGTTATTTTATTTTGATGTTAGTTATAACATGGCTTCCGAGTAGTGAACATCAGAAGACGATGACTGTGTCGCAGGGCAGCTGTCACGATTTTTTTTTAAAGCAGATTTCCAGATTTGCCTAGAAGAGAAAAGTCGTCAGAATTTTGTATTGACCAACAGGCGGTAGTATGAAGCAAATTGTCATATTTTGTTTAATTTTCCTCCAATGGAGGTTGAAAGAATATTATAAATTAACGTCTTCAATTCAAGATTTACGCAATGAAATGACGAATTCCAGAGCGACCCCCCCCCCCTTCAGAATAAAGGCACACGTTTCGTGTAAAATTCTAATTGTTGTTGACAATGTATACAAGTTGCTTAGACTTAAATATAAAGACCAAAGCTGTTTCGAAAATAAATTTTACAGCAAATTTTCTTGGGCTGTTATTACTTTGAAAAGATACAATTTAAACTCATGAAAACTTAATGTAGACCTGAAATAAATTTGAATCACTAAAATCAATCATAAAGCAAAATTGACTAATAATAAAAGGAAAAGGTCTATATACAAGCAATTTGAAGAAAAAACGAACTATGAAAGGGCCCATGGGCTTCCTATTATTCATGTAGGCCTACCTAATGCTCAAGGCATTTTGCGAACTCACTAAAATAAGACAAAATGCATTTGCGTCTAGGAAATATCACCCAAATCTCTAACAAACGACGTTAAAAAGGAACACATGATAGGATGCTTGCACGAAAATGAGCTTTGGGAAATCGTAAATAAGATGTTCACACAACTCCAATAATGTTTGTATCGTTACATACTGTTACGAAATTAACTACTATTAATCATATGCATATTCATAATAATGTAAGTGCATGCGCGGTCGTCATCAGTTGATGAAATTGAGATTCAATAAACCACCACAGTCATTGGTAATATTTAGTATTTTTTGTAGTAAATTATATTGCTTACGAGTATTTGTCTGCTAGTGTGTGGTAAGAGGAATAACTCAATTCAATATAATTCAAAACTTTGTTCCCAATTTATTTCAAAAAGCAGAAATGATAATATATGCATTAAGATATGCATAAAGAATAACAAAACGAGTTGCAGAATTAGAAACAAATCATGAAAACAGTGCATAAAAAAGACTAACTTTACAAAACCAAGTAGGTTACTCTGAGTCAGGTACAAACGCGACAAATGCATAACAAAGTTAAAACAAATGGATAAGAAATGAAAAGAAAATGGATTGGCCCGGAAAAAGCCAGTCAACTCAGTCAAATATGTAAAACCTCCTCGTCGTAAAAATAGACATACAGCTTGTACAACGCCGCGTCATTTAAATCCTCTTTTTACGTACGACTGTTACAAAAAGGCGTTACATCAAGGCATTAATATTTCGACGGCCGGACCATTGTTCGTTTGCACATATAAATTAATCAAGAGCGACGACGCAGGTGAAAAGATTGCTTTAGAGAGAAAATTGACTAGTCTCGTAAAAATGAAATAAAGAAAGAAACGAATCAGTTGTGACATTTCTTGTTCTCTATGGCCCGAATTCACAAAAGAGGTTTGTCGACAAACCGAGGTTTATGTACGTCATATGACGCGTTTTGACGCGTTTTTTGCAAACCTGGTTTGTAAAAAACAAAAGGAGGTTTGTCGAAACAAAAGGAGGTTTGTCGACAAACCAACCTCCTTTGTGAATTCGGGCCATCGTGTCAGTGTGGAAGACTTATTAAAGCAGTGTCCCATGATACGGGTTACTGCTCTACAGTTGCCCTCATATTCAGAATATGACGAGGAATAGATAAATAATATAGGACCACACTGTGTGTGTGTGTGTGTATTGGGATTTTACAGACGTGTATCAATCAGATATGATTATTTACGTCTGGGACCGACCTTTAAACGTCACCATCCGAAAGACGTGACTCAGTTTCGAACCTGCGTCCTCGGCTGAATCAGTTTGTAACTTCCACTTCATGCCACATCGGTAGTCTCATTTGTGCCGTTCATGTGATTTTGAGTAAGATTGGGTCAGTTACTTTAATGTTGATCATTTCGAAACCTCACAGTATACATCAATTCTTTCCTAATAGTAATCTTTTTAAATGTCATCGCACGACCAGTACTCATCTTTTAAATGAAAGCAAATATATTCTGAACTCCGGAGTAAAATGTCATGTAATGTAAAGATAGATCAGCTGAATCAAATTGACCTAGAACGCGTTTGTTTTCATCGTGGGTATTACGTTCATACAGACGCGATGATTGTGAATTTGATATTAAAAAGTGATATTACAAGGCGTTTAGGAAGTCTAGCGGATAACAGATTAATAAAAAAGAAATCATTACTATATAACATTTATTTAATTGTTCCATTGAAATTGTTGATACTAGTAAGACAAAGAGGGTCTATATAAAAATAAATGGTCGGAAATATTGGACGATATCTACCCATTACTCAGTACGGATTTAAACGACGACGACAACAACAACGTAATGGTCTTTACCTTTTCATGTAACATAGTCTGTGAAGGATTCTTGCTAATCAATGTTCATTCCGAACGTCATTTTAATAAACTGTTACATTAAAAACTTCCGCAAATACCCGAAATGGGGCTAAGCGAGCCAGAGAATAATTTCAATATATCCATGCTTTATCCCTTTAATCCGGGCACTGATTATATCGCGTGTGATTGTGACGTACGCAAGCAATCAAAGTTGCTGATCGATAACCAGTATTCGATCGTTAGGCAGGACAATGAACATAACGATACACAATATGATACAAGGCCATAATGAGCTAAAAACAGCTTGCATGATTGCAATTGCATGAACTCTAATTGTCCATAAATATATATATTGGGTTTGGAAGTGAAAATCAGAGTGAACGACATGCAGTTGCTCAGCTACAGATGGGGAGGGGAAATTGTCGCCCATCTAATAATGAAACATGAGAAAGAGAGGGAGAGGGAGGGAGAGAGAGGGGGAGGGAGGGGGAGTGAGATGATAATGTCATCCTAAAATACCCAAGATTTTGTGTTGCACTTGTGAAAATGGTCTTCTAACCAAAGCATTGTCACTTAATAACAAAATGAATTGCAACTGGATTGTGAGCAAAACCACATTTTCCGGGACTGTTAACACCATGATGTTACAATCTTGGACCCCATGGAAGAATAGTCTTGTCTCTATGGCTTGACTGAACTGGGTGTCCTTCCGACTTCATTATTGTCTTCTACTTTTCTCTTTTACATTGTTTATTATGTTAGTTTTAAATGTTTATTTATATTATGTTGTAAATGTTTATTTATATTATGTTGTAAATGTTCTGTATATATCACGTTTTTATTGTGAATTCGGAGAATAAATCAATCAAATTAAATCAAATCTAATAGAAATAGATCACCGACCTTGTTAATAACGGGATGCACCCATCAGAACGTGTCCTTTCCCATGAAGATGAAAATATGGCACTGGATGTCCTCAATCACGAAGCATTGGACAACAAAATAAAAGCGGCTTTCCAACGTACATAATGTCACTTCATAACACATCGGTTTGCAACTCGATTGTGAGCAAAACCATGTTTTTCTGTGATTTCTGACACCGTGAAGGCACGTCGACCTTGTTAAATGGAGAGATGCGTCCGGAACATCACTCACTGTCGCACTACCTTTTCATTCTGCTTTCATCTAATTCGTCTTCTTACCGCTTCCATCTGCTTTGCCGGGCCGACCGATCCGAGCAGCTAGGCAGCGATGATGCGCGGCGGTGTTCTCTAATCCTCATCAAGTATCTTAGTGCGGAGGTGCGAAGATGACTCGACCAACCTTGTTCGTTTTCTCACCTTTCTCTTTGTTCTCATCGGGTCTCTATCCCTGGTTTCGCTAATGCAGTTTAAGTCTTGCCCCCGTCACACTACCGCGACACAAAGGCGTAGCCAGGGAGGGGGTGGCCCCTTGTTCATCCGCTAAAAGGTCATCCATAGATAATATTAGGGGGTCATAACTTTAACCCTACCCCTACCCAAGGTGATTTTAGGGACTTTGCGATTTTATGTCGTGCGTTTAATTAGTATGTCTTTCTTATAACATGTTCTGCTTTGAACGTCAACGGATGATACTGTTATCATCAGATTGAGAGAGCAACGTTACATTTTTGTTTGGATACAAATTACCTTATTACTTTTTTGTCGAGGTTTCGGTTGAATAATTATTTTGTCGAGTAAACTGAATTCGATCATAATGTACATTATTGTATTGAAACAATTTCCCTTTTTTTTAAGGATTTTTTTTTTTCTGTATATCTCATTTTTGTTTTACTTCGTTTCGTTTTCTTCATTCAGAGACAAGACAGACATTAGACCGATAACAGACGGAACAGACAATCACAATACCGAGAATGGGGGGGGGCACCCCCACAAAACCACGAGGCACATGTAGACATATGAATGCTATAACCCCCCCCCTGCCCTCCCCCTCCCACACAGACACACACAACATATAACGGCGGTGTGACTTGGACTTAAGGGGTGTTTGCTACATCTACTGAATAGCCCGCGTAATGAGATTTTTCAATTTACCCACACCAAGTAATTGTAGTTCTTTTGTCACTGGTCTGTTTGGTTTGCAGATACCCGCATCCGGTGAATTCCGACGCATTACTTTTCCCTATCTAAGTGATTAACTTAAGAAGTCTCTTTGTTATATTATTATGGATCTTTCTATCATTCATCTCTCTCTCTCTCTCTCTCTCTCCCTCTATTTCTCTACCTCTTTGTAACATATCTAATGCTCTCTCTACTCTCTCAGTCGGTCGTTCCGATGCATCACTTTTTCCATATCAGATGGAAGAAGAAGTCTCTTGTTTTATCGTAGATCTCTCTATTATTCATCTACCCCCTCTCCCTCTCTCCTTTTTTTTTTAAATCTGGCTCTATCTTGCACTGTACCTCTTCCTCTCTTTCTAAGTCTCTCTCTCTCTCTCTCTCTCTCTCTCTCTCCCTCCCTCTCTCTCTACTCTTTCAGACTCACATTCGGATGCATTTCGTTTCCCATCTAAGTGAAAAACTTAAGTAGCCGCTTGTTTTATCATAAATATCTCTCTCTACCCCCCTTCTCTCTCTCTCTCTCTCTCTCTTTCTCCCTCTCTATCTCTCTCTCTCTCTCTCTCTTTCTTTCTCCCCTTGTCTGTCTTTCTCTATTTCTCTCTCTCTGTATCTCCGTCCCTCTACCTCTTCCCATTTATCTACTTTTCTATGTCTTCTCTCACCCCCTCTTTCTCTGTGGAGTGTATACTAAAGTCTTTGAAGTATAGGGGGTGGGATACGTATTATTTGTCATTGAACAAAGGACTTTCACGTCTATATATCAAATAATTTCGTTATTTATCTTTGGCTCTCTCTTTCACGAGCACCCACATAAAGTGTTCGGTAAGTTCTTGCTTGATCGAGTGATTTGATTTACCTTTGTGTGAACACAAAATACTTTGATGAATGTTTTTTTTTTTTGAATGACTTTTCTTTCGAACGCCAAAGTGGAACCACCAAATTGACTTGTATAATGTTCGAACAATATGGTATTTTAGTAGATTCAATTGACATGATAAATCACATTTTGTCTGGAAAAATCTGCGGTTTAGGGGTAACCACAAAATCCATTGGGCAAGACTGAATTGGCTATACTTTACGGCGGATTTTCAAGCAGTGATAACATATGATGGTATGCCTGGAGAAATAGAGCAAATTCCATCATAAAGAATATAGATTGATATCATTGTAAAGACAAGATTGCGTTCCATTCATTCCTCTTGTAATCAACTTTTGTTCTTTTTGTATGGTTCTTTACGAGGAATCGACTCATAAAAACTGTAATGCGTTTCGGAAAATATAAAAGCGATAACAACAACATTCAATCAGGCGGTGTAAATTTTACTGGTACAGGGTCGATATAGAAAATAACGACATAAAATGTAGACAGAATAAAATGTGGGGTTATGAAAGGAATGATAGTAATTATGATGTTATAGGCCTAACAATGCTGATGGTTATAATGTAATATTGATAAGAATGATGATGACAATGATGATGCTGATGTTGCTTCTGCTGCTTCTTCTTTTTCTTCTTTTTCTTCTTTTTCTCTTCTTCTTCTTCTTCTTCTTCTTCTTCTTCTGATGATGATGATGATGATGATGATGATGATGATGATAAAGATAGTAATAACTACGAGGACAGCGACCATGATAATGGATAATTGATTGTAGTGATGGAGATAATGATGATGATGGCGTTGATGATGATTTAGATGATGGTGGTGATGGATGTGATGATAGCGATGATGGAGATGATGATGCCTGCTGCTGCTGATGATGATGATGATTAAGATGATGACCATGGTGATGGTAGTGGCGGTGGTGATGATGATGATACGATTAAAATAATGGGTTTAATGAGACCGAAGATAGTAATGATGTTGGTAGGTATGACAATGATAGATATACTGATTGCAATAATGATATAGAGGAGTATAATGAGGATGCCGAGGCTATTCATGATGATGATGAGGATTGTAATGACAATACTGATAAACATGATAACGAAGAAAATGATAATGATCACCACAGATATTCAAATTAATGTGGTGCTGCTGTGCCTTGTTATGACGACACATTGAGAGGACGGATGAGAGAAGATGAAATGAAAGACAGAGAAAGATAGTTACACGACCTTAGCAGTTTTGACTTCTCTGTCTTAATTCACACGGACGCCAACGTTCCATCAGTCAAGGCAGTTACATTTCAGGTTAAATTATGTAAGCTAATTGTCTTTTATTAAGGAGTGTACGACAAAAACCAGTGTCCAATCAAAAAAATAACATGCATGCATCAAAATAAAAAGTCCACAGCCATCAAATCGACTAAGGTTATTTCAACTCCACAGAACTAATGATATCGCACAAAATAAGGAAGCCAAATCGGGGGGTCAGTTTACAGAACGTTAACATCATGAACATTGTTCAAATATGCACATCTTTCAGTAAAGCGTTATATGCAATCCATCACGATATTCAAATGTAAATACAAGAGAGAATGTAAATAATATCCAATAACGGGAGATATATTTGTATACGTACCTTTTCGCTTTGTAAGAATTGCCCGTCAAATACCCGTTGGTGCAATAACTGCAATTGGAACGCGAAGAGCAAACTTCCGAACTCCCCCGCACTGAGCGGTCTCCTGTAGATGCTGTAAAGCCCGACTTTCGCGTGGCGTCTGCTCCGCTACTCTACGTGGTATTCCGCCGGCCGGGAATGATACATAAAATAACCAGTAACCATGGCAATGAACGTCGCATCTGAAACTATACGTGCTCATCGAGTCCTTTCTATTCCGCCTTCCAGGAGCGGCAACAGTAACTCGTATATACTAGTAGTCACTTGATCAATGCGGTTTTATCAGATGAGAGGGCATAGAATATATCAATCTATACTGCAAGCCCTCTCAATGATTTAGTCGATATCCTCACCGCCGTGCTATTGTGGAATTGATAATTCTCACGCTTTCATTCGCAAATGAGTAAGGGCGTTCGTGACACCCCGACGTAGCGTACGCACGCACCGCCGTACGTCGTAACAATCGGAGCACTTAGTCCTACTTTTTCATTTTTTATATCGCATTCTCGATACGGTAAAAAGGCCCATTTCCTTTATAGCTGGTGCGTTTTTGACGCCATACGCCTCGGTAAACTTCTTGTTAAATTAAATGTGGTAGAAAGTATACATAATTATGAGCTCATACACAGAGAAAATATACCGTGTCAATTTATAGCCTCTCTTTGCCCCTGAGAGAGTCTATAGCGCGTTCGCACTCGCTAACGTTCCAATACTATTTTGGGAAAAGGTTAACGGCAAACAGTTACACAGTTTTATTGAATAATCAATAGCTTAACCTTTCATTGTATACACGTCTCTCCACACGTTGAATGGAAATGCTCTCTTTGTTTACCACACGAGGACATGTCGTATTCATCGGTTCCAGTTGCAAAATAAATAAATAATTATGCTTATATCGGACAACCAATATAGTTTACTATTCTAGTCCTTAAGTTTTCAGGAGGAAAAATGACAAAAAGCCAATCGTAAACTTGTTATGTCAAGTCTAGCATGGGATGAGAAGGAACACAAAGAAGAATAAGAGGAAGAATAAGAAGAAGAAGAAGAAGAAGAAGACGACGAAGAAGATGAAGAAGAAGAAGTAGAAGTAGAAGAAGGAGTCGAAGAAGAAGAAGACAAAGAAGAAGACAAAGAAGAAGAAGAAGAAGAAGAAGGAGAAGAAGACGACGAAGAAGGAGAATCAGAAGAAAAACACGAAATAGAAGGAGAAGATGATGAAGAAGAAGAAGAAGAAGAAGAAGAAGAAAAATGTGAAAATGAAGGAAATAACCTAATTGTACAACAGATTTGACCAATGCGAACGAAAAATAAAAAAATAAATAAAAAAGGGAGGACTGCATCAGGGCACTTAGATCAATGCTATACGCAAATATTATCTTGATGGAACTTATTATTATTGTTATAATTCTTATTATCATAGCCTATACATGCTTATACAACGATCATTTTGCCTACTGTTTACAGCCCAATCGTCGATAATTCCCTTCATCCTATGTTTTCGTATGGCTTCTTTTTTAAATCAACCATTGCATGATTTCCTTAGAGATAACAGATGAAGCCGTACAATGATTCTCAAAGTTATTCCTTTGGCGTTTTATTCAACGATATGTATTGAAGAAACCTTACATTTTGATGTTTTTGTTTAAATTGTGAGAAGGGATTAAAAGAAAACACATCTACAGAGTTCTTAACCAGCTTAGGAAAGACAGTTGGTCTCATTAAAAATGGAAAAAATAAAGGTTTTATAAAGAATTGTGTCATATGTTTTTACGAAATCTCGATTTTTGTTGTTAGTGGAACAGCTGCATGTTGAGATAGTACAGGCTTGGTATACATTGAATTATGTACCGTTGTATGATAGACATGTGATTTTGACATTAAAGTTAGTTTTAAGAATTAGAGAAATTACGCCTTATAGGAACTTAGCGTCACCCCCCCCCCCCCCCCCCCCGGAAAATGAGCATGTTCGGACACCTCTCTGCGCGAATACGAATATAGGAAATGAATTCTCGGGCGCTGTAGCTCCATCCCCCCGCCCCACGCCCCTCACGCCAACCTTTACGGGGGGCACGTGCCTCGATCCCCTAAAATGAATCATGAAAAAGGGGACGAGGGGGGGGGGGGAGAGAAAAGCGAAATAAAGAGATGAAAAGGATAATGATAGACTATTATTTGCAATTTGCATTTCGTTAACAGAGCAAAACTGTTGCCGCCACCTCCTCCGGATATCATCGCTTTCTGAATCGTTGGCTAGATGGCTGAACTCACTTTGCACGCTCCGCCACTTGTTGCCATATTGAAGCACCCCATAACGTCGTTTCTGCCTGAAATTTATCAAAGCATAACAAAGCAACAAGTTACTGCATCACGTGCTCATAATGCCCATATTCAGAACCAGTTTGGTTATGCATCACTGCTGCTGAGTTTCATTTTCTAACTCACTTCTTAACTTTATTAATCTTTATTAATTATGATGCTCATCACTGTACCGCAAAACGACCTTGATTTAAAAATTAGTGTACCGCGGGACGATCGTGATTTGAAAATCAGTGTACCGCGGTATAGTCCGGCAGCCATCTCGATATACCTTGTTTTAGGGTCTATAGTTTTTTTAATTTTTTATTATAGTTCCTTAGACCATCAATTTGAAGAATCCGATTGCTGACACTCTGTCAGCCTTGAGCAATTTGAGATATGTGACGTCACACAAAATGGCCGCCAAAATACCCTTTTTTACCAAAATTAATGATAACAAAATTGTTAACAGTATTTTACTACATTAAATGTCAGTCAAATATCTTGATTTTTTTCTAGGATCATCACTAAATAAAAATTGACGATGTTGTATGATAACAAATGGCATGTAAATTTGCATAATTCAGATTGGCGCCCTCTATAGACACGTTAACTTGCAAATTTTAAATGATGGCCAAATGCCAATTTCTAACATGAAATTAACATTTTGTATAAGTCAGATGCACTGAATACAATTAGTAAAAATTGTGCACCACATTTTGGTGTGATTTTTTCGTTATTTTGTACTTTAAAGGTAAAGATCAGTTTTGGAAACGCCCCCCTCTCAAAAAATGAAATGGAAGCTCTTATCACCAATCATGTGAAAGAATATGTTTTGACTAATACGTGATGATACAAATTTTGCCTAGAAACCGCCTACTAATTTATATATTTGGTAAATTATTATATCTATTTAGACCTGATAGATATCGCGCACGTGTCGCTTAGTCCCATATATATCCTTCTGTGTACAGTGCTTGTAACTTTACCAAGACTGGGCCAAATTTCTAATCGTTTTGATGATTCCAGAACCTTGCAGTACACACCAATACTTATAAGCTAAATGATCAACCTTTTCTGATCGATTCCACGTTTCTTTCACAATGCAATCGCATGACCATAACTGGTCTTTATCTTTAATACTTGAAGAAAACAAGCTAAAATTTCTCTGTCCCATAGATATGAGGTGCCATATGGTTATAAATGCCCGTTTTCAGTGACAGCATTCCGAAATTTGATTTGTATTTTGAGGTAATACATTCTTTTATATGAACCTATCATGAAAAGGTTTCTCTCTTACAAGGGAATTTATGAGTTTAATAAAGCGAAATATCCACCCAAAATGACCAAACATGGTTACCTTCCAATGGCTATCATTTGCTGCTTTAGTTTGATCGTTATAACACTCGACAGAGGCGTGAAAACCACAGAAAATTGTGCTTGCTAGTTTTGCTTTGTTGCATTGGCACCGTGATGATTTACATAGGCTTCCACTCGCACAAGTGCACCGTATTAACCGTAATATGTTGTCCGGTGCGAGTTGTACATTTGTAAGTACTGTGACAGGGATCAGGGATTTGGTTTCCTCTTCTTTTGCATAGCCATACTTTGTAGGATCCAATGATGTGGGTCGTGACTGCAAGGCGTGCTTCCACACACATATTTGCAGATGAGCTATCTTGCCAACTGAGTCCAAAGGGAGTCAAATCTTCTGCTTCATCACTTTCAGCAATGCATGTACCCTTTTCAATCCCAAAGTATGCCCCAATAGTGTCGCATCCCCTCAACACATGTCCTGCCAACATCGATGGAATGATATCTCCTAACTTGTGTACAGTGGCAGGAATGTCAATAACAGTTCGCTCTTTGATGACTCCATGATCATTGGCGTTCTAAGTAATTCATGTAGATAATGATGGACCCTAACCCTAACAGCCAGGACCCTAACATACCTTTTCTCATTAGCAGCAATTTGAATCGTTTGCTGTACTATGATGTTGTCTGCTTCTTCATGTGTTATGGAAAGATCTTCCCTTGGCATGACATCGCTGCCTGGTATCACTTCAACAGATACCTCATCTTGACCGATAATGACCAGCTTGTGCTTTTGCCTATTTCTGAACACCTCATCATTCTGCAGAATCACGCAAACCGGTATATGATGTCGATCAACTGTAGTTTGTTGTCAGTAGTTTCTGGGAGGGAAGCAGTGAGGTGGGAAGACTCTTTTGGATGACTCTTGATTCGTCATGACTTCTAGAAACCCTGGTGGCACACCAACCGAAGATCATCAGATTTTAATCCAGAGTAGAGCACAACCATCAAACGGGCTGTACAAGGTTGTTCAAGTGACACGTCAACCTTTGTCAAATTCTTCAAGTTCGCCTTTGACCTGGTGAAAGCTTACATGACAAAATATTCTTGATATTGACATATCTTCAACTTGCCTGCAGTCATATTACTCTAGAGTAGATCAACTTGGTGTCATAGACTTTCGAATCCTCCAATGTTAATTAAACTACACCCTCCAAGTGGTTGAAAACTTCACCTACCTCGGCTCCATGTATTAAGCAACCTCTCCCTTGATCTCGAGCTCAACGTTCACATTGGCAAGGCAGCAACCAAGATGGCTAGACACTCAAAGCAGGCCTGGAAGAACACTTTACTATAAACCACCAACACGAAAATGAAGATCTACCAGGCCTATGTGCTCAGCAATCTCCTGTATGGCAGTGAGTCGTGAACCCTGTATGCAAGTCAGGAGCGCCGTTTGAATGTCTTCCATTTCCGCTACTTGAGGCGAATCCTAGGCATCAAATGGCAGGACCACATTCCAAACAAGGATGTCCTCAAAAAGGAGGGATGATGACCCTTTACGCTCTTCTATCACAACGACGGTCATGTCAGTCGAATGGAAGACGGCCGCATTTCAAAAGACATCTTGTACGGAAAGTTAGCGACCAGAACCAGGACTGTTAGAAGACTTGGCCTTCGCTTCATGGATGTGTGCAAGAGGGATATGGAGGCCAGTGAAATCAACCCTACAAAATGGGAAGCCTATGCTTCAGACTGCACCCAAATGGAGATGCGCTGTGAAGACATGTATACAGAGGAGTGATCAGAAGTGAGTAGAACAGTGGGAGGAGAAAAGACAACAAAGACGGCAGCTAGCCACGGCTTCAACAGCACAGCCACACATGAAATTTGTCTGCAGCAACTACAACAGGACCTGCCTCTCTAGGATTGGACTGTTTAGTCATTGCAGAAGCTGCACAGCAAGAAACTCTTGTGCTTGAAGCTCTTAAACAGAGGTACAGTTGACGGTGTTCAAAGGGAGGGAGTTCCAGAGTCTTATTGTATCCGGGAAGAAGCTTCTCTTTTAGACAAGCATTCAGGCAAAATGAACAATTATCTTCTTGGAATGCCCTCTGTGCATGGATGTTGATGGAGTGAGGAAAGTATGTGGAAAGTCTTTCAGCGGGTTGTTGATACGAAAGATCATTACCACCTGAGCCTGTACCCTGCGTTCTTGTAATGTTGGCCACTTGAGCTAGTTCAGGATGGCTTCTACTTTGCTTGTCCTACAGTGGCCATTGCAGTAGGAGCGGATATAGCGCCGTTGACCCATTTTAAGCTTCTTGATGATTGCTAATTGTTTGAGTGTTAGGGTCCCATATAATTATGATGATGGCATACTCCATTATTGGTTGAAGGCGAGTATCGTAGCACAATTATTTAACTTTTCTAGGACATGGTTGGATATTTCTTTGAAGAAAGGCACGGGTGGAGTTGGAGTATTTGCTGATAATGTTGATATGTGGGTTCCAGCTGAGGTTTTTCTGCGACTCAACACCTCGATACTTTGCTATATTTTTGTCATCTAGGGTCTGTCCGTGAATTTGATGATGGATTTGCGTTTATTGGTGACATGTAGAACCTGACATTTATGTGGGATGAATCCCATCAGCCAATCACGTTTCCAGCGTTGCAGTGAGTCAAGATCCTCTTGGAAACGTTAGGCGTCTTCCTATGTCTTGATGTTGCTGTATAGCATGCCATCGTCAGCAAAGAGCCTGACTGTTGGGTTTGGGGAGAGGTACGGTGGCAGATCATTGAGGAAGACGAGAAACAGCATCTGGCCGATAACGCTGCCTTGCGGGATGCCAGATGTTACTTTGCTGGTGTTGGAGATGGGTCCTTCCAGTAACACCTGCTGGATCCTGTAACTCAGGAAGCCAGAAAACCAAGCATGTGTGGGTTCCCAGATTCCATAGAATTGGAGCTTGTGTAACAGCTAGCCTTCCATGGGGAACCTTATCAAATGCTTTGGAGAAACCAAGGAGTGTCATGTCCAATTGGTCTCTGGAATCGATGCCTTTGGCAAGGTCCAGGACAGCAAGGACAAGCTGTGAGACGCAGAATCGCTTCTTTCGAAAGCCATGTTGTGCATCAGACAAGATGTTGTGGCTTTCAAGGTGGTTCATGTTGCTGCTAAGAACGATGTGCTCCAGTACTTCACAGGTTACTGACGTCCGAGAGACAGCTTTGTAGTTCTCTGGCTTGCTACGGTCACCTTTCTTGAAGATGGGATCAATATATATAGCCATCTTCCATTTATCAGGTATGCACGCTCTGGTTAAGGGAGGCTTGGAAGAATAGAGGGAACACAGGTGTTAGTTTGGTGGTGAGAAGTCTGGCTGGGATTTGGTCAGGACCAGTGGCTTTATGAACATCAAGCTCAGACAGGATCTTCAGAACCCCTGGTGGCGAGATAGTAATGTGATCCATGGTTGGGTAGGGGCTTCGTCCTTTGTCTCTCAGACTAGTCACATCTTCATTGCAGTTGAAGATGGATGAAAACTGATTACTTAGAATGTTTGCCTTTGAGAGGCTATCTGAGTAAGTCATTTCATTAGATTATTTCAATGGAGCCAACCCTGAAGCATCGCATCGCTTGCCGTTTATGAAACTCCAGAAACACTTTGGTTTACAGTTGGTGTCTGGGCTGACAATTTTTGGCAGGTACCCGTTGTAGACTTTCTTGGAATTTGTGTTATAGAATCCACCAGGTAACTTCTGTTAAAACTCATGCATCTGTCTGGTACCGATGCCAAATGCTTTATCATCATTCACTGACGCTGGATCAATGCTGGTCTAAATAAAGCCTATGAATGGAACAATAATGTACCGTAAAATCACTTCTCACTAATTCTCTTGTAGATCTTGGTTTCTTTACATGTATCTTAATTTAGACCAAAAAATATGTAAGATAAATTCAGCACAATCGTAATTATTTCATGCATACGAAGCATATAATATGTGTTTAACGTGACGTAGATTTAAGAAATTGGCATTTGGCTGGCACACCTATTTGTATGCAAAATTAATATATTTATAGAGGGCGCTATTTCAAAATATGCAAATTAGCTTGTCATCTATGGCCGTCCAACATCACGAAACAATTTTTAGTGATGGTTCTAGAGAGATACAGACATTTGGCAGCCCAAAATTGTAGAAAAAAATCCTTGTTATATATTTATTATACATTTTTAGAGAAAAATCATGTACTTTGGCGGCCATTTTGTATGACGTCACATATCTTAAATTGCTCAAGGCTGACAGAGTGTCAGCAATCGGATTCTTCAAATAGAAGGTTTAGGCAATCATAATCAATTGAGAAATAAGAAATTGGCATTTGGCTGGCACACCTATTTTTATGCAAAATTAATATATTTATAGAGGGCGCTATTTCAAAATATGCAAATTAGCTTGTCATCTATGGCCGTGCAACATCACGAAACAATTTTTAGTGATGGTCCTAGAGAGATACAGACATTTGGCTGCCCATAATTGTAGAAAAAGCCCTATTATATATTTATTATACATTTTTAGAGAAAAATCATGTACTTTGGCGGCCATTTTGTATGACGTCACATATCTTAAATTGCTCAAGGCTGACAGAGTGTCAGCAATCGGATTCTTCAAATAGAAGGTTTAGGCAATCATAATCCATTGAAAAAAAAACTATAGACCCTAAAACAAGGTTAGGCCAATAATCTGGATTTGGCTGCCGGACTAGTACGACTTGCTTTCTGAGCACACGCGCTTAAAAAAAGTGAAAGGCCTCGCTCGCGCTTCGTATGTCAAAAAACCAGGAGCAGTGATGCAATTCAAGCGCAATTACATGCCATTGTGATTAAAACAGTTGGAAGTGTCGGGTGCGGCTCTTGCAATGCAGGGCTTGTTTTTTAATCAATTAAAAGACTAAACGTCATTTCTATAGCGGTTTTCTTTGTTCTATATTCACTATGTGTAATTTCGTCTAGATGGGAGTGGGGTGAGTGGGTATACTTTTTGGTTTTATTAGCTCACAACCATTATTCATTTATGTAACTATTTATTTATATATTTATTTGGTTGTTTTATTATTCATCCATCTACTAGTATTCATTTACTTAATTCATTTATTTATTCATTTATTCATACAGTCATTTATTCTTTGAATATAGGCCTTCTTTATTGAAAATGCTTTCATGTATAATTTATGTTCATACATGTATTACAAACATCGGGAAACAAAAGTTCTCACTACGATGTCTATGTTTTAGCGGATAGTAACAAACTTGAAATCATGTAAAATATCAGCGCCCCTCCTCCGTTATGTGTTACATAATCACTCAATACAGCAGAAGCAGAGGTTTAATTCAATTTCTAGTGGTAGAACTGTAAAATATATTTCGAAAGGCCTATCAATTAGCCCCGACTAATATAGTTTATATTTTATCAAATTTATAACTCTCTAATGACAGCCGATGAAAGACGGCAAAAATAATAACTGAAGAACAGGAATTTTAAGTCGAAAGAGAGATTTGATTTGAATTCCGCAGAATATTTTTTAATATTATTATTATTTCTATTTATTCATTTAATAATGTCCGACATGTCCAAACACCATTTCCTTACGATATATCTCATTATCCATGATAGGAGGGATGAACCTCAGACAAGGTACATCATTATCATTTCAAAGGTGCATGCAGGATGCAGAACTCACACCCGATTAAATTCACATTTTGGAAACCAAATATCTTTTTGTATTTGTCCAATGTACGTTCAACATGGATATATTTTGTTTCACTGACATTTAAAGTAAAGGCACAGACATAGTTTACATAGAACAGAAATAGGATACAAAACATGGATACATTTTAGTGCAGACAAAATAGTTGTCATACAAATATATTATAATATTGATTGTCGTTTGGTTATGGCTTTTTTCGTTTCCTTAAGTTACGTAATTTAACTGTATTCATGCATTTTTATTAATAACAATTATTTACCACTTTACACATAAGTTTTCAAACCGAATTGAAATATATAAATATAATAACAAAGGAATATAAGTTCAAATTTAGATGTTTCTATCAATAAATTGCATATACGTACATTGACAGCGATTCAACATTCCCAAAATAATCTGTTTTCTACATCTTCATAATTATTTTGAATATTCTTGGACGCGACATTTTCCCAATCCTTGTTGAAAATTCACAGAAGGGTGACGAACTTGTCCGAGGTAACTTTGACTTTGTTTGAAGATGCCCGGTGTTCAACGATCACACGGTGTTATATGATTAGGGTTGCCTATTGAGTCGTTAGTAAACCGCTGAAAGACAAAAGAAAGCACAATTAGCAGTGATAGTGACTATTTTGTTTAACCCAGGAAAGCCTCATCAGTATCAATGCTGTTTCTTTCTGAGGGCCCTGTAATTTTTGTTAACCCCAGCGATAACCAGGTACCCATTTACGACTGGATGGAGAGTGGCAAACGTGGATTAATCTCTATCCAAATGATATTAGTGCCGGGCTGGGATTCGAACCCTCAACCCTTGGATTGAGAGTCAAACGAATAAACCACTAGACCACGACACCTCCAACTCATTAAACTTCAAAGATAAAATCATGTCTCTTTACAGTATTACAAGGATCTCTATAGCATAATTTAAACAAAAATCTTTAATATCAGAGGCACGTCATCAACATAGCCCAATCACATATCTTTCTCTCAGAAGATTTAATAACAATGGTAATAATACGTGGTATTGGTCTTATGCTTTTTTAATGAGCTCTTTAAAGAGGAAATCATTAAAATGATATCATTTACCCAATGATCATTCTCTTGTAAATATTCGTAAAATGTTTCCCCAGGACACAAAGTGTAAACTGCTTGACGATGACCGTAGAGGGTGTAGCACGGATCCAATTTGGCTCTACATTAATTCAAAAATATAAAAATCATATGATGTCAGAGAAGGGGAGAGAGAGAGAGGGGGGGGGAGAGAACGAGAGAGAGAGAGAGAGAGAGAGAGAGTGTGTGTGTGTGTGTGTGTCAGAGAGAAGGAGAGAGAGGGAGAGAGAGAGAGGGGGGGAAGGGGAGGGGGTCGCAGAGAAAGTGGGGGTGGTGTGATAGACACAAGCGTAAAATGATAAGGACACACTTTAGACAAACCTGAAGTAAGTTTGGCATTGTAAAGATTCTCGTTAGATTGTTTGCCCGCTTGATATTACTGTTCAGTTATTAAAGCTTTTAAGTATTCAATCTGAATCAAACATCTCCAATCAGTCACTGGATTAATGAACCAAACAGTAAGATAATAACCCAATAATTACTCAATAAATTGACAAGCGAACTAATCGAGCTTTTAATTCTAAAAAAAGGGCGTTTCAATACCCTATATTGTACATCTTAAAGGTACTATGTCCCATTTGCAGGCCACAAAATGAAAAAGTTAAATTCCAACTGCATTTGAAAGATAATACTAATTTGGAACTTCTCTAAAAAAAGGTGGGGCTTGAAAATGTCTTCAAGTGGGAAAATAACGACTATTAGTTGTCAAATCGACTTTAGGGCTATAGAGCCCAAAAGTAATAGTCTTCATTTTCAGACAATAGTATCGAATGGTCATACGTTTTATGCTGCGCAAAGATTCAATCAGTTTAATTTTGGCCATTACAAGAAATGGGTTATTGATGTAGACAAATGCTCATGTACCCTTTACAACTCTTTTCATGTATGTTATTACCAAAGAAGAAAAAAAGCCAGTCAGTCACTCAATAGTGTCTGACAGTGAAGTCTAGCAAGTAAACAGGTTTCCTTGCATAATTTGAATATAAGGACACTGCTAACGTTTAAATTTCACAGCTAGGACATACATGACATATTCATAATTCCTGCAAAGTTCTACAGAATTTGAGGTTGGCTGCAAAAGGGACATAGTACCTTTAATGCTCAGATTACGTGACACATAAGGCTATCGAAATTGCCTAACTAGTTGGTTGTTCGAGAGTAGTTGCGATTGTGTTCTAACTCCCATTCACCCAACCGGTCAATAAGCAGTTAAACAAACTTTCGATAACAAAATATTTTAATAATTGATCATAAAAGCAAGCATCAAGGCAATCACCAATAAATAAATCAATTAGCCAACCATCTTTTCAATCCATTAATCTGAATGTCCTTCAATGTGATGAATTAATCTAACTAATCAACTAAAAACAAAACAAACAAGCAATCAATACATGAAATAAATAATCAACAAATCAACCAAATAATAGTGACATAGTTATTATGTTTGATTCTCATTGAGACAATCAGGCAATCAATCAATGAATTCACTAATCAATAAATCAATCAAAAGCGTCAGCATAACGATTCTCACCTGATCAACACACAACCAATAAACCAGTCGAGTTGTTCAAGCATGATAGTCCAGGCTAGAGAGCAAGGAACCTTGTTTTTTCATATATACAATGTTTTTTGATGGTTTCTTATCAATTTGAGGGTGCTGATTCCAAATCCGATGAGTGCCAGACGCGAAACCTTGAGCATTTTTCGTAAAACGCGAAAATTCAAAATGGCCGCCAAAATGGCCGCCAAATCATGAGAACGCTTATTATATGGCCATTTAAAAGGTTATTTGATGTTTTCTTGTCAATTCGGGGGTGCTGAGTCCGAATCCGATGAGTGCCAGACGCGAAACCTTGAGCATTTCTTGTAAAATGCGAAAAATTCAAAATGGCCGCCAAAATGGCGGCCAAATCATGAAAACGCTTATTATATGGCCATTTAAAAGGTTATTTGATGTTTTCTTGTCAATTCATGGGTGTTGAATCTGAATCCGATGAGTGCCAGACGCGAAACCTTGAGCATTTCTCGTAAAATGCGAAAAAATTCAAAATGGCCGCCAAAATGGCCGCCAAATCATGAAAAAGCTCATTCTATGGCCATTTAAAAGATTATTTGATGTTTTCTTGTCAAATCGAGGGTGCTGAATCCGAATCCGATGAGTGCCAGACGCGAAACCTTGAGCATTTCTCGTAAAATGCGAAAAAATTCAAAATGGCCGCCAAAATGGCCGCCAAAATGGCCGCCAAATCATGAAAAAGCTCATTCTATGGCCATTTAAAAGATTATTTGATGTTTTCTTGTCAAATCGAGGGTGCTGAATCCGAATCCGATGAGTGCCAGACGCGAAACCTTGAGCATTTTACGCAAAATACGATTATTATTTTTGTAGTCGATACCAATATAGTGAACCCAGCAGGCTAGCTAGAAATCAACAAAGTTTACTTTGTGTAATGGGAAAGTTATATACACGTATAAATAAAATAATGAATAAATGAGCATATAGATGATATAGATATTCATTGTAAAACATATTTTTGTCCATTATAGACAATCATTTACCATAATAATATTGATGTCTTTCTAGTCTTACCACCTCCATAATAGCAGTGCCGAACAAAGTCAAATATTATTAGTCTTCACAACTGCTAATGTCACTGTCACTGTCACTCTCTTCTGATGTCTTGTTCATTGGATTTTGGCAGCGGACATCGCCCTTACAGCGGCAGAATTCCAAGCATGCCAATGACGATTTGGTGCAGCTGCACTGGGCTGTTCTGTAGTCGCTCTTACACCCACACTTAATGATATTGAGGACTTCTTCCGGTCGACTGGCTGATCATTTTCAAGATAGACGGGTTGAATCGTAGAAGACTTCATCCTCCATCCATTCTTCAATGGGTCTAGGGCTGGGGGTACTGGCTTGCCAGCAGCCACCCACAACGCTACCTGATAATGGGCACGCTGGCAATGTGGCCGAAAAGCGGCCATAGTTGGTGTATATAAGACTCATTAATTTGGGAGGTACTAGGCGCTTGCCACCAGCCTTCCTTGTGAAAATGTTTCTTCGCATTGTGTCAAGAGAGTCATTTGGTTCTTCTCGGTACAGGGATGCCAGTATCTCAAGCAGGATTATATTACTTCATCGAGAGGCGTTTCATGCAGTATTACCAAGGAGTAGAGAATCAGGATAGGGCTCCCAATTCTTGAGTGCAGATGCCTTTCCTACTCCATAGAAACAGGAAACGGTATCGCATCCAGTCAATGCATGGGCTCCAAGTAGATTGGGCATGATCTTCGTGTGTTTCTTGATAACCTTATTGACATCTATGACTTCTCGAGTGCGAGACGTTGATTCCATTACCACCTTTGTTGTGTGTGGTATTCCATTGGTTTGGAAATGTAGATGGTGTGCAAGAATGACCAGAACATCTGTGTCATCGCACACAACTTTGATAGGTGAGTGACCATCCTTGGATCATGCGGATCAGGTCCAATTACGATCAATCGTTTGCCCTCTGGTACTTGCATGGAACACAACTGATCTACGATCATCTTGATGACTTGTTGCTTGTTTGCAGTTACATTTAGGATGACGTTCTGCTTTGGCAGTGACTGTTCAGCTTGTATACACGGTTGCAACCTTTTGCACGTGCTGTTCGGCAACAGGACTTGGTGCTGCTCTCGTAGTATCTGTCAAAAACCACATGAAGAACTGGACAACTGTCTGCATATTTCATGAACTTTGCTACAGCAACATCTACAAAGGTACACACCTTTGCTGGAGAGGCAGGCCAAGGAACTTTTCAAAGAAGAGCACATCCATCAAGAATGATAACATCTGGCACCTCTGCACTTCGTTGACTACACTCAACCTTGATCCTTAACTTCAAGACGGACTTACTTGTGCAACGTGCATCACCATTATTGTCGAACAGTGCGGGTGGATAGGGAGCCAATTCATAAGAGAATAAGGTTTTGGTTGAAATCGCTTCCCTTGATGATGCCATGATCCCGATTACCCGGGCGTAGATCATCTCTGTATTGGTAACTATAGATACCTCACCTCTTGATGACATATCAGAAGCCTTTGCCATTCCTTTGACTCTCCTCTTTATTGTGTCATGGAACCCATTCGGCAACTTTCTTTCGTACTCGTTCATCTGATCAGTTCCAATCTTGATTGCATCATCGGCATTTACTGCTGGATCATCTACAACCTGTCCAGTGTAGATGTTCACCAGGCTTGAAGGAGGATGCTTCTCACTGTCAAATACATCTATACATGTCGATAGCGACTCTCGAATTCCCTTTTTGTCAGCCGTATCTTATTTGATTCTTTTGAGACTCTCTTCTTTGTGACAAGTGACAACTTTTTGATCTTTCCCTTCTTGCACGGCTTCCAAGTCATTCTTTAGTTGTCCAAAGAGGCTGAGAGACAAAGCCCAGATAGCAAGGGTAGACTCGTTCAAAGTGGATGGGTGGATGGAGGAAGGGTTGGGTGGATGGAGGAGGGGTAGAGTGGATGGAGGAGAGGTAGGGTGGATGGAGGAGAGGTAGGGTGGATGGAGGAGAGGTAGGGTGGATGGAGGAGAGGTAGGGTGGATGGAGGAGAGGTAGGGTGGATGGAGGAGAGGTAGGTGGATGGAGGAAGGGTTGGGTGGATGGAGGAGAGGTAGGGTGGATGGAAGAGGGGTAGGGTGGATGGAGGTGTGATAGAGGTAGGGTGGATTGAGGAGAGGTAGGGCGGTTGGAGGAGAGGTAGGATGGAAGGAGGAGGGGTAGGGTGGATGGAGGAGAGGTATGGTGGAGAGGAGGTGTGATAGAGGAAGGGTGGATTGAGGAGGGGTAGGGTGGATGGAGGAGGGGCAGGGTACGTGGATTGAGAAGAGGTAGGGTGGATGGAGGAGAGGTAGGGTGGAGAGGAGGTGTGATAGAGGTAGGGTGGATGGAGGAGCGGTAGGGTGGATGGAGGAGGGGTAGGGTGGATTGAGGAGAGATAGGGTGAATGGAGGAGGGGTAGGGTGGAAGGAGGGGTAGGGTGGATGGAGGAGGGGTAGGGTGGATGGAGGAGGAGAAGGGTGGATTGAGAAGAGGTAGGGTGGATTGAGAAGAGGTAGGGTAGGAGGAGGGGGGTAGGGTGGATGGAGGTGTGATAGAGGTAGGGTGGATTGAGGTGGGGTAGGGTGGATGGAGGAGGAGTAGGGTGGATTGAGAAGAGGTAGGGTGGATTGAGGAGAGGTAGGGCGGTTGGAGGAGAGGTAGGATGGAAGGAGGAGGGGTAGGGTGGATGGAGGAGAGGTATGGTGGAGAGGAGGTGTGATAGAGGAAGGGTGGATTGAGGAGGGGTAGGGTGGATGGAGGAGGGGCAGGGTACGTGGATTGAGAAGAGGTAGGGTGGATGGAGGAGAGGTAGGGTGGAGAGGAGGTGTGATAGAGGTAGGGTGGATGGAGGAGCGGTAGGGTGGATGGAGGAGGGGTAGGGTGGATTGAGGAGAGATAGGGTGAATGGAGGAGGGGTAGGGTGGATGGAGGAGGGGAAGGGTGGATGGAGGAGGAGAAGGGTGGATTGAGAAGAGGTAGGGTAGGAGGAGGGGGGGGTAGGGTGGATGGAGGTGTGATAGAGGTAGGGTGGATTGAGGTGGGGTAGGGTGGATGGAGGAGGAGTAGGGTGGATTGAGAAGAGGTAGGGTGGATTGAGAAGAGGTAGGGTAGGAGGAGGGGGGGGGGGTAGGGTGGATGGAGGAGGGGTAGAGTGGATGGAGGAGAAGGTCCCTTTTCATAGCGCATGTACGTCGTTTCAATGTACATATCGGACAAGATGCCGTTCCAAATGCCATCCTGATGGTGCATCACATGTTCTCCATCTAAGAACTGCTTGAGTAATGCTGGTGGCAGACGTTGCATGGAGCGGAGATAGTACAGCCCATAGCGTGCATAATTGGTATGCCCTGAAGCAAAGAAATAGGGAAGCATTTCTTTGACAGCTTGCAGATGGAGAGACCAGTCACCCTCCCTCTCAGCTCTAACAAAAGCCATACAGATGAGCATGGGCTTTACAAGGCAGTTCATCCACAACTTTGTAGTTCGACTCCTTTGCTTGCTGGCTACTTCAATCAACTCGTCAAAGTCAGTGAATTGGTGGTCTTCCAGTACTGATCTTAATATCTCCTCAATGACAAGTCGAAGCGCCCTGAAATTCTGTGGGAACTTCTTCCCAGACAGAAGTTTTGGAACTCCAGCAAATCGTGACTTCAGTATGTCTTCGAGCCCACTTCCCGACATAAAATAGCCGATACTTCCTAGAAAACTAATTATCATGTGCATGCCGCCTAGTCTGGGTACAAACTTGGCAAATCTGTCTTGGTTAGCCCAGACTATGTTTACCATCACTTGGTAGAGTTGCTGATCACACGTAAGAATTGTCTATTCTTGACCTGTAAGTGATGTCAGGAACTGTGCCTGTACCATTGCCGTCATCATTGTGTCAGGTTCTGCTGGTGTCATATCCAAGAATGGAGTGTACACTACTGTAGTCTTGGTCCTCAGTTGCTGTCCACTGTCCCGTGCATGCTTTGTATTGAAACCGCTAAATTCTGGGCAATCCTCGTTTCTTGTCACGGCCTGTAGGAAAGCAAGATCTTTTGCTGCTGCTCTGTTCTTGGAGACTTGCATACTTTCATCTTACATGTTGTATATATCAATTACATGATGTGGTAGCCAGTTAACCATGGGTCTAGCTCTCATATGCTTGTTTCCATGGTGAATATGAAGGACATGGCACTAGCCATGTAACAAGTCACCTGACTCCAACTAGAATGAAAAGTCTCAAATTTGTGTTTGGGTCATGCATACAAATGCATACAAATGGGGCAGTGTACTTTATGTGATGTTTGTGGTAGATGTTTGTGTGTGTGTGAGGGGTGGTGTGTGTGTGAGGGGTGGGGTGGGTGTGGGTGTGTGCCAGGGTGGGGTGGGTGTGTGTGTGAGTGAGCGTGTGTGTGGGTGTTTGTATAATTGTTTGCGGGTGATAATTGCACATTTAGAAAAAACCTCTGAGGTCTTAAATCGTGCTCATTAATGGTTTTATTAAATGTGTAATTAAATTTATTTGGCGGCCATATTGGCGGCCATTTTGACTTTTTCGCGTTTTACGAAAAATGCTCTAGGTTTCGCGTCTGGCACTTATCGGATTCGGATTCAGCACCCTCTATTTGACAAGAAAACATCAAATAACCTTTTAAATGGCCATAATTAAGCTTTTTCATGATTTGGCGGCCATTTTGGCGGCCATTTTGAATTTTTTCGCATTTTACGAGAAATGCTCAAGTTTTTGCGTCTGGCACTCATCGGATTTGGATTCAGCACCCTCGATTTGACAAGAAAACATCAAATAACCTTTTAAATGGCCATAATTAAGCTTTTTCATGATTTGGCGGCCATTTTGGCGGCCATTTTGAATTTTTGCGTTTAACGAAAAATGCTCAAGGTTTCGCGTCTGGCACTCATTGGATTTGGATTCAGCACCCTCGAATTGACAAGAATCACTCAAAAAACATTGTATATATAAAAAAACATGGTTCAGTCCCTTTCCTATGGGGCCTAGCCTGGACTATGACACTTGTAGGTAGTTTGCTGGAGTAAGCCCCTATCATGGCCAGACCTGTCGAAAAATTGACGTAACAATGGAATTCTCATTTTTGACATCGTAATTAATTAGATGACCGATGCACCGTTGTTGGCGCTATAATACTTGTTCTCATTTTTGTCCTTTTCTTTTGGCGGTTACTCGCATATTATCTTTTTTTTTTTACATTATACGCTGCATTTCTAAAACTTCTTTGTATAACCTCCATATCTTAACGTAGTAATCTCAACCTCCTCAAGTCAGTTTTCTTCTGCTTCAATCTTTATTTTTTAACTTTTATTAATTTTCCTTCTTGTTTTTTCAGCCATAAATAGGTCGATCTTTGGGAATCAATACTGACAAAAAGCCCTTGGGCATCGTTTATGATTATAAAAGCAACATTTTTTTTACGGGCAATATTGTTATTTTCAGCTTTTATTTTACATGTGACTATTATCATGATTTTTGCATTGGAGTTGACTAAGAGTTTTATTTTGGAAGTGATATTTATCAAATTTTAAAATGGCCCATGATCTGACTATTGTCTTCTATCTATCTATCTACCTATCTATCCAACTTTATAATCTATCTATCTATATATCTGTATATTTATTTATCTATCAATCTATCTATCTAGCTAGCTATCTTATCTATCCATTCTTTTTCGATATTCCGACTGTAGTTATAAATAACGTACAAAATAAGAGTCCACAGAACGTCCATTTCATCAGTCATGTTTTCTATTTCAAAATGGTGCATTCACTGACCGATAGAGTATGAGTTGTATTCTCTGGCGTGAGCCCCATTAATGTCCCATCCACGACCCTCGTACACGAGACCGTCGCCCCCGAGCAGAAAGTTATATCCGATGTCCCACCAGCCATTGGTGTCCATATGATAATTCTGTAACGAGAAGAGAACATGTTCGCCTAGCAGTGGCGTAGAATGAGGGTGGCACGGCAACACAGCCCCCCTCCCTCTCCGTCGAGTGATGAAAAACATAAAATTGCGAGAAAAGGGAGAAGGAAAAAGGGAAAAGGGGAAAAGAATTTAAAAACAACCTGCCTGGACCATCTCTCGTCTCTTAATGGGTTGTCTTGTAAATTCGTGTGTCTATTTCCGAGTAGATTTCCGGACTATCTCTGTGAAACATATTTTGTATCGTTAATTCTAATCGCATTTCAATATTTGTACCACGTACTTTGCAATGTTAATCTTTTCTCGTTAGTAAAACTCGGAAGCCCAGTATTAATTCTAATCCTAATCTTAACCCTAATCCTAAAACATTAAACGAACCCTAACCACAAGCTATAACCCCAATACTAACTTTCATCTGTACTACCAATATCGACATCTAAATATGCGCATTCATTTAAAAAGAGCATGGTCAATAATTCCTTGCATAGACCCTCACTTGTCATCCTACGATTTTTAAAAAAAGAAGAAGATTGGCTTGACGCAGTCCTCCGTCAGTCAAATGACGCATTCCTACGTCAGTCAAATGACGCAATCCTCCGTAAGGCCAATGCTGCCTCGTGTGCAACGCGCATAGAGACTCACCTGAATCCCTCGGACCGCGTTCACACAGTCTTCGGTATTGTTGCATTCACTTGTGTCTGTATGATGAATGACCAGGTAAGGGGTTGGGACGGAGAGGGGCTCCGTCTCTACGGCAGTCCGTGCGCCCCACTCCACCCGACTGACGATACGGGGGCATTCCGTTGGTTGCACTGGAATGCGGACATATACGAGAGAAAAGAGCATGTTTCCAGATAGGGATGCGTAAAAGAGGAAGAAAAATAAACAATTACATAATTATGCCTCATGATGAGCTATTTTAACTAAAAAATATATTATATCAAAAAGATATATGAACATTGATTATTGTAAACAAAACATCGAAGTGTTTCCTTGTTGATTATATGAACGCGTTATTGTTCATTTCATAATTCTACAAACAAATATAAACCTTGAACATGGCGAGTATTAGCTATCTGTACGGTTTATGAATTTACAACTTTTAAACAATTAACCAGACCAGGAAAATAAACTCCGATTGAGTTCAAAGGTTTTTCTGAACTTTATGGGTACGACATTGCCGAGGGCTGACTTCTTTGTTCTTGGACGTGTTTAGTGACACTAAAGAATTTATAGTAATCACTGACCTCGCAAATTAAATTTTAAATACGAAACGTGCCACGTCGATATAAAAGAGCAGTTTAGGGGGACGCCACGCTTCTGTATTATTTATATAGCGGTAGTACTGTATTAGTTTGCTCCTGAAGAAGACATAGGGCGTTGACAATTTGAGCGACGTCATCGAATATTATTATTGGTTAAATTGTTATTCAACCCCTGCATCCACACTTTCTATTTCCAACATGTAAAGAGACACACATTCTCTTTCACGACCCCTGTATAAAGAGAGCATTGAAGAGGCTATTCTACTCTTTACAAAATGAATTTTAACTCTCAACTCTATTCCACAAAATTAATTCACAGCATTATTTCTTTTAGCACTGATCATAATTTATTCAATGATATATTCTTCCTATGAATTTGATTAAGTCATATTATAAAACCTTTATTTTTTTCACATCTATTACCCACTTCCGTTATCCCACCATCAATATTCTTTGAATAAGGTGTACAGGGTACCTATTATTTTGTTATGAATGCACTATTTGTAATGACATTTTAATACTATTGTCTTTTGTGCAGTATTTGAGTTTTATCATTAATGTAAATTGTACTCAATTAAACCGCTAGGCTGCCATGTACAATATTTTGTTTTTCCACAATAAATCAATCAAGAAATAGATTGATTAATAAATTATATATGTCAATGGCTAATCACTGACCGTCAATTCTGATAAATTGATAACACATGTCATAAACACACCTGCAAAAACACATTTATTACTAAAATACTAATCTAAAGTTCCATACCTGATGTTATAGGACTTTCTGTTGTCGAGGACAGGCTTTTGGTTGCTGATACTGACATGTATTTACAAGAAAAGAAAAATAAACATATATAAAGGGGCATAATAAGTGACAATGATTAGTAAACGTTTTGTTTATCCAGGAACGTCTCGTCAGCACCAAACGTAAAGGCAGGGTATTCGCTACCACTGCTGCCATGTATCTGTTCCGCCATCTTTCGGTGAAGGCTTACAAAGAGCTATTTCCGGTTATTTTCTTGTAAGGGGTCACGGGTCGAAATAAATCAATGTTTCTCGTGAAGTGTTCAAAATATCTAAAAAGCAAAATAGGCGATGTCAGAATATTCGTGCTAGGAGGCATGGATCTCAAATATATCTTGACAAGAAAATACAGGCGTGTTTTGTGAAGTGTTTATGTGTTTAAAATATCTTAGGAGAAAAATAGACATACAAAGAGGAGAAAGGGAACAAAAAAGGGATTTTCGTTGTTGTTTTGTTTTCATCGGGGATGGGGCGAGAGAAAATAAACCCCTCTCACGTAACACAGCCCCTGTTTTTCGTGAACAATATGAGATATATTGATAGGATTATCCTTATCATAGGTTGAAACAAATATAAGACTTACCGGAAAAGAAAATGACAAGGCCAAGAACGACACCAATAATGACCACGACGAACATAGAGATACATATCGTGAGCTCTCTTTCCCGTATTCGTCGCGCTTCGGCTGCGACGTCGGCCTTCCTGGTCAACGAAAAATGCTGTCTCTCGACATCGTCCGCGTTATGCCTAGACACGACGTCATTCATAGATTCGTACTCCCGATTGTCCACGTTCGAATAGCTCTCCACCGAAGTCTCGCTCGCCTCCATGACCTCGACATCGCCGACTGTTACCTCTCCCCGGCGTTCATCGATGACGGTTTCTTCGGGCTTTGAAGCCTGGACAACGTCGGGAACATCACCGGCATCGTGGGTGTCATTTGGTTGTCCAACCGCAGCCTCCTTCTCCTCCTCGTCGTGGACTTCTGTGCCGGTTTGTAGTTGGGGTTCGTATAACGGGTTATCGAACACATTGTCTTCCCACTGCGACGAAGTCGACCCGTCCTCGACATCGGAGTCGTCGTAATCGACATCGGGAAGGTGAACCTTAAATTACGTCAAAGAAATAGAATATATCGTCTTACCGGGTCACATGTGACCTGACACCATTTTTATTTTTGATCGACCGTGTGATGTCACAAGGCTTATCAGTAAGTATTTTACTTAGATTTATAAGTCTAAAATGCGATTTGAATACAAGATAAGTAAATTACTTAACTTAGCCATATACTTAGTAAATTTCTTACTTATGCTCAGTATTGAATTGAATACCGGCCCTGGTCTCTGGCCCGAACGGCAGCTTTCCATGTATTAAAAGAACAGTGTCGTCTGTTAATGCCTAGTAGTATAACGACGACGTAGAAATAAAAGCCATACATAAAATCAATGAAGCCAACGACATCAACAGAACCTATATACATTTCGATCCGTTGAAGCATAACGAATGAATGTTTTAAATGAGTATAAATAATTACATCAATTGTGATTACTCTTACCGGTAATTGTGAATTCGCCATTTTCGAACGCTTTTCTATTGTTCAGCCTATAAGGACAATAACGCCCAGAAATGTCACTGCGCTTGTTATCTTTTTAAAGACCCCAAAACAAGAAGTCGTAAATGCTTCGAACCTTCAATTGATAATAAAACGTCATAAAATCGTGATCATAATCTCCACACAAACATGCACCATGCATGATATAGACTTGCTAATCCCAATATAATTCATTATTTTATCATCCAACCATTCCGTTTTATTTTCGCCGTTTTATTTGGAGGTTGAAGTCTATGGACTTTGCTATGATAATTCTGGAATACTCTCTCTATATAAGTTCATATCTTGAATTTGGATTGTTTTTCTTTTTTGAAATACAACTTCCTCTACTGGGCATACATTGGTGTCAGTGGTACAGATTGGTAGATATTTTAAAAGTACATTCAAACATGTCTATGAAGGTCATCCAAGGGTAACATAAAAAACGGACACTGGACACAGGTGGCCTTTCTAGACAGGTTTTACAACATATATTTCTTGGTTGAGGAGGACAAAATACATGGCCACTATAAAAGAAAGGTGGCCTTTAAAGAGAGGTGGCCACAAATAAAGGCTTGACTGTACTAGGAGAAGAAGTCTGATGTAATTTTCTTATTTACCTGTTGTCATGTACCTTGTACTTTGTATTGAGGTCTTTAGACTGCTACAATTAAATAGTCCTTTGTTAAAGGGACTTGACGTTTTTATAACACCATGTAAACAACCATTACCTTTCACATAAACATAAGGCATTGAACTACAATATGTTTTATTGGTCTCCATTCTGGGCCCACTGTTATTCACTCTTTTTGTAAATGATATGCCAAAATGTATTAACTGTTGTGAAGTCGCACTGTACGCTGACGATACATGCATATATACATCAACTAAAGATCCACAGGAAGCTGTACTTAATTTGAATAATGACCTTATACGTTTATCTAATTGGTTGTCTGAAAATAAGCTGACAGTTAATCTGAAAAAATGTGAGGCCATGTTCATGGGAACAGCTCAACGTCTGAAGAAAATGCAACATGTATTTGATAACTCTGATATCTTTATTGATGGCATAAAAATTCAACAAGTCGAATGTTGTAAATATTTGGGAGTCGTTATTGATAGGAATTTGCAGTGGAAAAATCACGTTGAATATGTTAAGAAAAAAGTTATAAAATACATTTATCTTCTGAGAAGACTCCGACCATACATTAACCAAAATACGGCACTGTTGTTCTACAAAACCATATTGCAAAGCCATTTTGATTACTGCAGTCCTGCTTGGACAAATACCTGTAAAACATATCTTGGAAAATTACCAATTCTACAAAATAGAGCTCTCCGTACAGTGTTAAAAGTGGATTATTTGTTTCCTTCTAATGATTTATACCGATTACTTAAACTAGACCGACTGAACGAGCGATGGTCAAAACACCTAGCTTGTATCATGTACCGATCAATTCACCAACTCTGCCCAACCTATCTTAGCAATTTTTTTTCTTTCCACCAATCAAAATATAATACAAGATCTGGCCCACGTAAATTAAAACTTTCCCAACCCAAAACTAATTACGGTAAACGATCACTTGTCTATCGGGGTTCAAAGCTGTGGAATTCACTTAGTACCATTGCTCAATCAATAGTCTCAATTCAAGCATTTAAACACTTCCTTCAGAGTAACCCCATCAGATGATTTGTTTTATTATGTTTTGATTGTTTTATACGCAACAATTTTATATTTGGTTTTCTCTCTCGCCTCTCTATTCCTTGTTTCTTTCTTTGCCCTATCCTGCACATTTCTGTTTTTTTTAATGTATATATAATGATTTGTTTTTGTTTTGTTTGCTTGTTTATCATTGTAATCATATCTCAAATGTATTTTATCAACAATTTGTTTTTTTATCTTGTGGATGGACCCCTTTGAAGACCAGCTTTTAGCTGAAAAAGGTGATCCTTCCCATATGTGGAAAATAAATAAATAAAAATAAAAAAATACGCCTATTACATCAACTCATTTATATAACTATCTATTAGAGATGTCCTGGGCCCGTCTTACAAAGAGTTACGATCGATCCAAATCAATTGTAAGTCCTCCAATCAATCGCAAGTTTGCAGTCTCCTATCTCTTATGTACATAGTTACGATTGATATCAATCGAAATTAAGTTACAATTGATATCAACTCTTTGTAAGACGGGGCCAGGTCTAGTGGATACGTCACTGGAATGTGAATGACATGGTTAGCGGTTCGAGTCCCGCTGAGAAACCAATGTCCTTTGGTAAGATATTAATATTAATCCAAATATTTCACTCTCCCTCCAGGAGTAGTAAATGGGTAAAAAGGAAATCTTCGAAAGCTTGAACGCCTTTTTTAATAATAAGATAACAGGGCCCTCAGGAGAACAGTATTAATAATGATGAGGCTATCCTGGGAAATCCAAACATGTCATCATTACTTATATCATTATGATAATTATTGTTATTGATATCATTATTATATTTATTATTATATTTATTTTATCATTTTTATCATCATTATTTTGTATTATTATTATCATTATTATCATTGTCACTATTACCATTATCATTATTGTTATTATTATTATTGTGGTTATTATCATTATTGTTATTATTATTATTATTATTATTATTGCTGTTGTTGTTGTTGTAGTCGATGATGAGACTGAACACAAAACGACCCCCCCCCCCCCCCTTCAACTCTATATTACGTTTCTGTGTATCATTTTAAGAAAATTGTTAGCTACATTTAGATAAGAACTTCAACGAGATTTCAGGCAACTGTTTATATTCCCCTAAAGGCGCCTTGCGAGATATCAAACAAAAAAAGAATAGGGGAGTAATGCCGCCATCTTGTGGTCAGTGGTATGAAATGATCAGAATACAGATAAACCATATGTCCTCTCTCAAGTTGACCTAACTTCTAATTAAAACATTTCGTTCTTTGATTAGTTTTCTTCAATTATGTTAGGCATTTCTGAATCACCGAGAGTTATTGAGAGTTATCCTTTCCTGCCTTGTCTAATGTTACTCTTGACTGCGTATTTCACCTCAGTCATTTATATCTTAACACATACAAGCATGAGAGTTCCTTTACGATAAATCCTTCCCTCAGTGCAGATCCATCTATACACAGAGTTTGGCCAACTTGGTTTCACTGGGTCACAACATGGCGTATATTCTTTTGTTTTGTGCTTGCCTTACAAAGCAGTAGTCGCCATATTGTGTCCAACTCGAACCGGGTTGGCCAAACTCTTTGTATAGATGCCTCTGCCACAGTGGCATCAAGAACGTCCTCTATGAAAGATATTTAGGCAGGCTGACGAGAAATGTAAATACTAGGCATGTCAGTAGCAGTTCTAGAACATGAAATGGGACTTGAGGCGAAGCCCTGCAGAACACATTTTGAAATACACGGAGACGAAATACTGGATACGTGCTCATGAAAGTTCATTATTCATTCATGCACATTCAGTACACTCCATGATACACATGTGGAAGTATTATTTAAAAAGGGGAAACAAAGGCTATTTATATAGCACCTCCACCGCTGTAGGAGTGATTATTTCAAACTGTACAAAATGGGACCTCTTCATGTTTTGAAGATATGTGGATATTCGGGGTCATATTGCGGTAATATGCTAACCGTGAACTGATCTATTTAAACAGGGCACATATAAACAAATAAATTTAAGAACCCCAACCCAGCCACGGACATGTATTTGTGCGGTGATGAAAAGCTTTGGATATTTTTTTTTCCTTTCCATACCTATTTGATTGCACTTTATAATGCTTTGTTTTGTTCTGTTTTGTGTTTATAGGGGGAGTGGGTTACGTTTGTTTCGTTTAGTTATAGAAAGAAAACTTCACCCGGCAACCATAGTCAGCGCACTGTCCACTGGCTCAAGCTAGGCAATAGCTTTTTGTCAATGAAAGAAGCTGAAGTAAAGAGCTGTGAGTAGAAGTGTCATGAATAAGCTACACCAAACATGATAATTGATCAATCTAGGAATAAAGGAGAAACAGATAGACATACAGACAGAAGGACAGAAAGAGATGCCAATTTGCGTCTAAGATGATATAATAGAGACAATGATTATCTAAAGAGCACTAGGGAGACTTGATTCAGAATGATTCAGACAGATGAAGAGATATGAGAATGCTCACGTCATGTGAGAGAAAGGGAAGATCACAAAGAGAGAGAGAGGAAAGAGAGAGAGAGAGAGAGAGAGAGAGAGAGAGGAGAGAGAGAGAGAGAGAGAGGAAAAAACAAGAATGAGAGAGAGAGAGAGAGAGAGGAAGAAGAGAGAGATTGACAAAGGGGAGTGATAGGGAGAGATGGAGTAAAAGATGCAGAATGGATGTTGCTCTATCTGTCCGACTCTCGTGTTGATGGCAGTCAGGTATCACTGTAGGATGAGAAGTGAGAGATAAGATAGCCCGGGCTGCGAAATTAATTTAACTTGACTTAAAACCCATGACATAAACAAAGTCACCGTTTCTATCAACCTGTTTTGTATAGTCAAAGCACTGGAATTTCGATATCCTCGGGATGTTTTGTCACAGAGCGAGATTTAATACAACTCATCTATACAGTGGCGAAGCGTGATTTGAGGGGATGTTATCCAGTGAGGGGGCACTGGTCTTACTCGGAAATAAACACTACATGCGAATTTACAAGGCTACTGATTAGGGTCAGGGGCCTGCAGAAGGAAGATGCATGGTCTAGGCATCTTCTTTTTATCGTCCTTCCCCCGTTCTCTCATTATCTTTCTCTCCTTGTACGCGTTTACAATCTTTCTTCACCACTCGATTGTGAGGGGGGGATGATCCCCCCTTGCCCCATGTAGCTACACCAATGTATATGATTTGTAATATTCCGGCAAACCTCAGTTTAAAAGAGGGGGCATATTTGCCCTATGTTGTTACCTTCTTCTTCATCCTATGTTGAAGTATATGCCACCATGTTGTTGGTATATCTTCGTACTTTAAAGTTGTGCAGATAATGTACAGTGCTGTGGAAGATCTAATATGTGTGGGGTTAAAAAGAAACCTTAAACACGGAAGTTGAAATTCTCGCCTGGCTAGCCTCATACATAATTATCGACATACTACAAATGATGGGAGCGTTCCCTATTGTCTTCGTAAGAAAGGAAGAAAGCGCTCTCTTAACCTCTTTCTATTGTCACCTCAAACATCTCCGCTCAGTCTATACATACATGAACTCAAGGAGGGTATTTCGTCACAAACCAATATACCAGAAGACACAACCATTCTTTAAAAGGGGATGTTGTTGCACGTCAGTAGCGAGTGAAATTTGTTATCGATCGGTTGTTATGAGAGTTGTGAAATTTCACGCTTGGTTAAAAGTCATTGTAATATACATCCACTGGCTGTGATGGCTATTTGTATAAAGACAGCCGCGTAGTTAATATTTGGTAACTGTTCGAAAAATAGATTTAGAACTTGCAGCGAGGAAAAAACCCAAACCGCTGCAATCAGTTATGAATCTAGCGCTGGAGAGTGTAAAAGGGAACCCCCTCTCATCGAATGGTTTGTTCTTATACAAAAGAATGATGAGCAAGAGTGATTTTTAACAAGGACCGCACCCGGGTGTCTTTTATTTCCCCAAACTTGTTCGCCTTCCATTCCTAGGGAATGAGTTTCTATGGGGCAAGAGGTGGGAACGTGTTTGGTTATTCATCTTTAAGTAAACAGTGAAGATACCTGGCCTTTTCTTTAAGGATAAGGTTGCATACCACCGCCATTGCACAAACAGGGAGTTGTTTTCTATTCGACTTAAATCATATTTGATTCGAAATTTTTCCATGGATAATGACTGATTTTCTTATACAGCAGACAGACGTATGCTTGGTGGAACTTTTGGTAGGCTATTAGAAGCCGCAGCGACGTCATCGGTGATTTGAACCTCTGGCGCCAGCATTGGTAACGCAACGTAACGTAAGTTGGAAAGATAAAATGGCGTCTCAGTGTGGATTATTGTGCCATGTTATCGTCTTGGTGCTCTGTCTAGTCCATCCCAGTCTTCAGCAGGACGTTCCTATCGTGATGGGGCCTGTTAACTCCCAGGCAGCCGTGGGGACGGACGCTGTGTTCTACTGCAAGGTCCGGGCAGGCCAGGGGCTGGTCGTCTACTGGATCCTGAACCGGACCATAGCAATAGGACCAAACGTAAACAGGAACGAGGCTCTCCCGAAGTACGAGATATTCGGGAACGCATTACTGGGCTATTATAACCTGAGGATCAAGAACGTTACGATCGACGACGACGCCGTCCAGTACGATTGCCTGGTTGATACCAAGGGTGATGGGTCCAACTACGAAGAGGGTGCGACGTTGAGCGTCGACAATCCTGCCTTGGAGCCAATGGGTCCTGTTTGTCTGGGCGCAACTGACAATGAGATCGTGTTGGATGAGGGAGATGAGCTTGAAAACTACAGATGCCAGTCAAGTGGAGGTAGACCCCTTGGGGAATTGAAGTGGAGCTTGCTTCGTTCGGATCAAACCCTTGTCGATGTTGATTTCGACACGCAGGTTAATACGACGCCGTCAATAACCGCGACGTCAAGTTCCTACACGGTGACATCGGACGACCACGAGTCCCGGTTGGCTTGTTCGCTTACGCACCCGAACCTGAATGCCGATAGTATTTGTTCAGTCCCCTCGGGATCTGCTATGATCATCGTAAGGCATTTTCCCATCGTCAACTTCGGTCCTCGACTCGACGTTCACTATCTCGAGACGAAGAACGCCACGATCAGGTGCACGGCTACCGCTTACCCCGACTTAATCACAAGCATCCCCCAGCTGAGTTTCTCCGATCCCGACATGTTGATCGCGACAACGCTTACGGAGGAAGGGGTCATTGACGCAGTGATCCGAATCTCGCAACGTTCCGATGTCGGAAAAAGCATCAACTGCACTGCTGCAAATGCGAAGGGGAGCACGACGTCGACACTAGAGATCGAACTCACGCCCAGACTTCCCGTTTGGCTGCTGATGGTGGTACTGATCCTCGCTTGTCTTGTGGTTCTACTTCTGTCACTTTGTTGTTGCTACTGCTTCTGCAATGGTTGTAAGCCGAAGGCAGTCGAAGACCAACCCGATCGTGGTGACATCAAGGCAGCTGGGTACGAAGTCAACGAATCTCGATCGGCGTCCGTGTTCAAGCCTAACGGCCTGAATGGCACGGACCCTCGCCCCATCAACAACGACGACGCCGACAGTTTCGGTGATATCCAGCTCAACGACTACACGATTTATCCTCTTCCCCTGCCGTCGTCCGAGCCCACGACCGAGTTCAACGACCACGAGACAGGCGAGTACAACGATGGCTACCTGTCGCCCGATGCTGATGAGATGTTTCCTCCCATGGTCGAGGATGAGCATCTGATGGATGAGAAGAGGATATCAACATTCAAACCTGATGATGAGATGAATGGATTCGCATCACCAACTTCTCCCCCTCCTCCTCCACCACCGCCTCTTGATCTGGACCCGCCTCAACCCATCCCCTCCATCGAAGATGATTAACTCTAATTTAACTAAATCCAATTTTATACCACTGCTGTTTGTTATTCAAAACAAGACTTTGTACCGGATATTCAATAACCATAACCATATTTATTCTTTTGCATTTGTCACTCTTTTCTATTTTGAAAACACAAAAAGATGTTAAAAGGATGTTCAATGGCTATATTAATTCAACATCAATATATTAGATTGATTTTATTCTGTAGACATTCCTTGCTAGTACTTAATTTTTTTAAATATTTTGTTCTATAAGAAGCTTAATAACAAAATTCAATAGCAGTTGATTAGATTTTCAATTTAGTAGACACTCCATATGGCGTATACCATTTTTTCTCTCTTGTGAACAAAAGGTGTTCAAATATATTTAGAAAGTATGTCAGCTCGATCACAGGTGGTCGTATTTATGTATAGTGATTTGATTCAGTAGATATTTGAACAATTGTTATTTACTTTTAAAATCACAACATAACAAATACCATCAGGGGAAAATGTACACTTCAGAAATAGCAGGTCCCCTACCGTTAATGGTGTTGGTACAATCATGTATTTATACCCCTAAAACAAACTTTACTTCATGTGGCAAGATATGATATTATTTTCTGAAATGCAAACGTGATTTGATATTTAAAATAGGTTGTTCTTAATGGTGTAGGGCCAATTGAGATGTCATTGTTCAAGGAGTTTTATTATGATAACGATTTATGATAACGATCAGTTTGACAGTACGTCAATATTTCATGTTTTGCGCATTCAATTCGATATTGCACGTGATTATCCAAGCGCGAGTACAAAGGCAGATAAGTCATTATTTTGTCGAAATGTTTTCTTAATTATGTTAAAAACTCAATGTAGCTTTATAATTTGATTTATATTAATCTGTTTAACTAAAAAGTACAGTATTTGTATGCAAGGTTTCCAAGAAGTTTCAATTTTCGTAATGGAACCAAATTTAATGCATAAGTCTGTGTGAAATGCCTCAATACAAATTATTTCATTCACCTGATAAGGATAATGGTATTTCAATAGACAGAATCCGAACTGCATACATTAGATGTTGCCAAGTAGGACAAACATTATGGCTTGACCTACCTAGCAACACTTAATATATGAAGTTGCATTCTGTCGATTGAAATACTATCATTATTATCAGGTGAATGAAAAAATATTGTATTGAGGCACTTAACAAAGACGTATGTATTAAATTTGGATATATTACGAAAATGGCCTACTGTAAAGAAATGTTTGGCTTGTACCCAGTAAATCCCGCTGGGTCAAAGATATTTTCTGATTTGTTTTCAATTCTAAGATCAAGCATGCGATCATTATTTACTGGGTGGAATTCTTTAGAACGATTGAAACTTCAAAGCTAATGTCCTAATGGTGGACTGATGAATATCAATAAGTCACAATGAGACGGGAGAGCTTGGGTATGTGTTTCCATGAACCAGTGATGGCCTGGTGGAACTTAAAAGTCACTTCCCCGCAAGCAGTAGATGGCAGATTGAAATCCCACTGTTTCGAATGGTTTTAATGGCTTCATTTCAATTACAAGCATTACAAAATTTTCTTTACAGCAATTAAAAAGTACAGTTTAACATCTTACCTTGGTTCAAATTCACTTACATAGCTCATAACAAGTTACAGATTGTATTGAAAATCTCTTTTATTTTGTTATCTGACGATTCTTTTTTGCTAAAAGAGGTCAGATATTAATATTTTTACCAAGGTGTGGCACGCTTAAGATCAAGGGGCTTTTTAATGTTAACAAGTCAAATGTATTTGTTTTATCTGAAAGTAATGATGGTGTTTTTATAGATTTCAATAACAGCAATCTTTCATTAAAAGAGGATGCAATTTGAAGCAATTATCCCCCGTTCACACCCACGAGACCAACACCAGATCGACTTCAGACCGAACAAAAATAACATTATTTACCTCAAATTGCCCAAAAGCGATCGGTTATAGGTGTGACTAAGGAAAAACATATTTTCACTGAACATACATTTCATATTTGTTCTCTGTGATTTAATTAACAGGTATCATGTTATCGTGTGAAAATTTCACCTGAAGAATTGAGATATGTTTGCACTTATAGTTGGGATGCCAGAGGCAATGCAAATGCATTGACGCATGTCACAATAGAGTCAATTAACTGTGTCTTTGAGTGAGAGAAGATCATGTAAGAGATACATTATTCATGTGGGTTGGGCTGAATGTGCATAGAAAAGTTCCAAGGCAAAGTAAATAGCTGGTTGCTGTTAAAATTGTCAAAAATTGTTTTGTGGAATACTCTGAATGGATTAAGGTATGTAAGTTTGAATGAAAGCATTTCGTCTTGTTTAGACAAGGGTGCGAGATTTAATCATGTCCGCTAAGCAATCATGTTATTCCAAAACAAATCCGTAGTTCCTTTGTTGGTTGTTATCTATTCATGCTGATGGAAATTCTTTTTTTGTTGTAATTGTGCACATCCGTTGAACATTCGAATATGTCAGAGAGCTTAAAATATATATTTTAGATCGATTTGACACTTTTATCAACATCTTATCTTTCAATTTGTTGTCTTCCATTCACAAGATTTTACGGTTTTATTGACCGCCTGTGCTGTCGGCTACACGTGCCTTTAAATCAATCTTCAAAATGCAATATAATCATCAGTAATTCGTAATATAATAGATGCAAGTATCCGGGATGATTCGATTCAATGCTTTTTGTTGTTGTTAAGAATGCTTCGTTTGTTAATCATTTTACGATAAGTGATGATATTTTCTTATTGAAAGCTAAATGAAGCTTTGAAAACTTTCGTTCTTCAATTGTTTATCGTTTTTCAGTTGCTACAACTCTTAACATGCTTCGTCTTTTAATGGGTGGTGACAATGTCGAAGAGACTGGATCGTGGAAAACGGTTTTGTTGACGATATACAAAAGTGACATTTTAAATGACCGCTTTTACAGTCATTGGACATGTATATATGATTTGCGAAATGATATCATGTACGAATGACCATACGACATTGATATAGCGTATGTATGCACATCACACACCTTTCGAGAAGTTGCCTGATTACTGGGCCCCATTTCACAAAACTTGTCATCAGCGACAAATGACAGTTTTTGTTATAAGCTACTGAAATCCTTGCTTCTGATTGGTTATCAGCAGATTTGTCACTGAATGTTTTCATTTGTCAAAAAAAGGCTTTGTGAAAAGGGTCCCTGGTTTCCGAACACTGTCGGATTCATGTTATTATCTATTTTTCAATACACTTAAACTTCATGTACTTGATGATCAAGCGATACCACATGAAATATATTTTTCAAGATATGTTGATTGTTGGGTAGATTCTGATGTTAAAATTATAGTTATATAGTGAAAAGGTTGTATACATAATTCATATCGTGAGAAACAAACGATCCAATGTTTTGACTAAACATAGCTTTGTGAATTTAATTTGCTTATTCATTTACTGCACCGAAATAGGATATCTTTTTCGTTTTAGAATGTAGAATGCGGAAGTTTGATTATCATAGATTTTTATCAGATTCTTTCAGAGGACGCGAGTTGAACTTATTTCTGTTTATTAACCTTAGGCAATCATAGCAGGAAAAAAAGAGAGCTGTTGATACCAAGAAAATGCAACACCTTTTTTTGGCATTTAGGTTTTGTAGCTTTATTTTCATAAAGATGTGTATAATAGTACAATAATACGTTGTGCTCTGGTTAAGCATCTGGTATATTTGTATATTTTGTTAGTCTTCATTATTATTTTTTTTAATTGCAATATTGATGTTTTGTACTACTTTGAGTAATTTGAAGTATTATATTCATATTATTTTTCCAAAGTGACCTTACAAGAAATTGATCATTAAATTTCGAATGCGTTTGGTCAAGAAAAAGGCTTTCATGTTTTATATTTGTCTGTCCCCTTTATGTTTTTTTTAGTTTTATACAACAAATGTTTTGGGTATATATATATATATTAGGACTCAAATATCTTGATATCAGTACCCTCCCCAAGGATATTTTTGGAAGACTTCATGATTTTTAATAATGAGAGAAAAAGTATGTACATTATGTACATCTCTTAATTCTAGACTCATCAATTATTGTAATTGATAATGGAGATGATAAAGATAATGAGATGGAAAACAATGATGATAAGTTTAATGAAAATAATGGGGAGTATGATGACGACCTTTAATAGTGACATTGATGACGGCGGGGATCGTGCTTTTGGTGATGAGAAAAAAAGAAAGGTAGCAAACTTTTTCTATAGTGATGATGGTAATTATGATTGATATGGTACTGGTTATGTTGATGACGATGATGATGATGATGATGATTATGTTGATGATGATGAAGATGATATAATGATGAGGATGATGATAATTAGGATAATGAAGATGATATAATGATGAGGATGATGATATAATGATGATGGTGGTGGTAATGGTGGTGATGATGATGATGGTGGTGGTGGTGGTAGTGGTGGTGATGATGACGATGGTGGTGGTGGTGGTAATGGTGATGATGATGATGGTGGTGGTGGTGGTAATGGTGGTGATGATGATGATGATGATGGTGGTGGTAATGGTGATGATGATGATGGTGGTGGTGGTGGTAATGGTGGTGATGATGATGATGATGATGATGATGGTGGTGGTAATAGTGATGATGGTGGTGGTGGTAATGGTGGTGATGATGGTGGTGGTGGTAATAATAATGATTATGGTGATGATGATGATTTAGATAATGAAGATGATATAATGATGAGGAAGATGATATAATGATGATGATGGTGGTAATGGTGGTAATGTTGGTCGTAATACCGATTGATGACTGAATGGCCAAGAAATGAAATGAATATATAATAGAGGCAATTTCTTTTTCTGTTCTCAAAACTTGCCAATGTGTTGTGTGCATCCAAGAAACAGAATTTTACTTTTAAGTACATCAAATTAACAATGACTTTGACTGCTACGAAGGATAATTGTAATTTTATTTGAATATAAACAGCTAAATTAGCTAAATGGTTTTTATTACCACTTGATGCAGTTAAGAGCAATGTACTCCTTGTACTCCTCTTTAATAAAAACCCAGTACCAATATGGGGTTCGATACTGAAATTCAACAAAAAAAAAAACACGTGAAAATGAGTTTATTAATCACACTCTTTTTATGCTTGATATGATATTGTATTTTGTTCAAGTTGTTAGAAAATATATAACATCACGCGCGTAAACGCCCATAAATAAATGCCAGAACCAATAAACCTAAACCTAAATACTTCAATTCAACAAAACCCCTGAAATTGAATTTATTAATCATTCCCTTTTTTGCTTGCTTAATTTGAGGATATGATGTCGTTTTGGTTCATGTCGCATGAAAAATAAGATCAAGGGCATAAACGCCCATGAATATTTTTTGTATGTATCTTGAGCTAACTTAGACCTACCATTGTTGATTTCCCCTGTGTCTGCATATGCAAATTTATTCACAATGGCATACCAAGGCTTATTGACTTACAACAGAATCAACCATGTTGCCCTTCACACCTCAGTCACACGAACGAGACCAAAATCAGGGCAACGTTTCATGAAACCGTCATGATTACAAGTTCGTCAACAACCCATTGAACAATAACGTCATCGGAGTCATTCACGCACGATGCGCACCATCTCCACTCCCTGGGGAG